TTCTCGCTCATCATGTACTCCAAAAATTTGCCTCCTCTTACAGCAAACGCACATTTCTTGGGATTCAGCCTCATATTCGCCCTTTGCATTATCCCGAACACCTTTTCTATGTCCAGGACATGGTTTTCCTTCTTTTTGCTCTTGATCAGGATGTCATCAACGTAGGCTTCCATTGTGACACCCAGCACATCTTTAAACAGCATCCCGATCATCCTCTGGAAGGTTGCCATCGCGTTCTTTAATCCGAATGGCATGACGATGTAGCAGAACACGCCATCCGAAGTAACGAACGCCGTTTTCTCTGCATCGGCCGGGTGCATGAATATCTGATGATAACCCCGGAAAGCATCCATGAAGCTCAGTAACTCACACCCAGCAGTCTCATCCACTAGCAGATCGATCCTTGGCACTGGGTAGGGATCCATGGGGCATGCTTTATTCAGATCGGAGTAATCCACGCACATTCTCCAGGTAGATTGTTTTGGGGCTAGAACCACATTGGATAGCCATTCTACGTGGATTACCGGACGGATATGCTTTATCCTTAGCAAAGTGGCCACTTCCTTCTTGGTGAATTCCCGCCGTTCGGTCGCTTGATACCGTTTCTTCTGTTGGACCGGTTTAGCATCAGACCGAACGGCAAGTTTGTGATATATTATTTCTGGATCAATGCCGGGCATATCTTCTGGCCCCCGGGCAAATAGCACCTGAAACTTTTTGAGGACGGCAATCACGCCATCCCGGATATCTGCCTCCAGATCTACCCCGATAGCAACCTTACGGTTCGGGGGGAGTCGAGGTCGATTTGTTCAAGAAGGGTGGCGGGCTCCGGGTGTGCCTCGAACTCTGTTCGGTGGGTTTCCACCTCAATTGTATTCACCCGCATCCCACAAGTGTTCATCTGTTTCAGGGCCTCCCGATAACATGTTCGGGCTGTTGTTGGGTCAGTTCTGGCCACCCCTACCCCAGTGTCTGTGGGGAATTTGATGCATGAGTGGCGGACAGAGGCTATTGCCTCCAGATCTTCCAATCCCGGTCGGCCCAAAATGGCATTATGGGCGCACTTTATATCTACCACCACGAACGTCATTCGGAGTGACGCTCTGTGGGTTTCATCTCCAATTTCAACCATCAATTGGATGGTCCCTTCCGCCTCGATGCAGTTACCGGTAAAACTCGCCAGTGGAGTCCGCAGGTGGGTCAAGTTGCTCCTTTGTAGACCCATTTTCTCGAATGATTGTAGATACAATACATTCACACTGCTCCCAGTATCGACCAGCACTCGGCGGATTAAAGCATTGTCAATACACATGCTCACCACCAGTTCATCCCTGTGGGGGCTTGGAGAGTTGGGTAGATCAGCTGGCCCGAACGTGATTGGGTCTGTCCTTCCTTTCTTCTGGGGGGGAGCGGAGACGGACCCCACATAAAGACTCCGCTCGAACCTTTTCCGTTCGACGTTCGAATCTCCGGTCTCCCCGCCCCCAAATATGACCTTGACCTCCATTCGAGGCTTCTTTCCGGGGCCTCCCGAGCCCTCTGGCTCATCCCTGGGAGGAACATACACATCATTCTGAGGCTGGGCGTCACGTTGAGCATCCCGGCGCCAGCTGTTAGGTTTCCTGGCCGGTTTTAACGTGCCCATTGCATTCGGATCTTTGTTCACATATTTGCCCAGATGGCCCCTTCGGATCAGATCCTCAATTGCTGTTTGCAGGGCCCTGCATGCATTGGTGGCATGACCCTTTCTGTTGTGATATTTACAGAAAGCATTGTCATCCGTTCCCATGAACTGTCCAGAATCAGTCAGGATGGGAATATTGTCCCTCTCATTCTGGTAGATGGCCGCTATTGATAGGACCAGGGGTGTAAATCTCCCTTGTTTGGGAGGTAAAGTGGCCGCTGGGCTAGGACCCAGTCGATCGGCCAGTCTGATCGGGGCAGCAGGCGTAATGACCTTATCCCTGATCATTATTTCTTCTTCTAGGGCGGCATGCTTGCGAGCCCTATCTAATACTTCGGCGTACGCCGTGCCCGGATTCTTCTTCAATTCTTTGTACAACTCCCCCGTTCAGAGAGCATTCGTGAACAGGGTGATGGCGGTATCATCCGTCATGCTTCCCACTGTTAAAGTTTCATCCCTCCACCTTTTCAGGAATTGGTTGAGGGTCTCCTTGGCGTTTTGCTTCACGCTGGTCAGATAGCTGAAGTGCCGTTTGGGATTGGCACTGGAAGCAAATTGAGCCAAGAATAACGTTGATAACTCGGTAAAGCTATTGATTGACCCGGGCTGTAGTGTCCCGAACCATTCCTAGGCAGGCCCCCTGAGCGTGCTGAAAAACAAACGGCAAATGGCAGCCTCGGGTGCTCCTAGCAGCATAAGTCCGCCTTGGTAACTCCTCAGATGTACGTGGGGATCTCCCACCCCATCATAAATTTGGCCGGTCGGGGGCTTGGCACCCCCTTGGATATCCGTGTACATGAGCTCCCTAGTAAACGGGGAAGTAATCCCCAGTTGGACTGGTGCAGGTTGTACAGGTACCCTGTTCATCTGGTCCCGCATTTCATTCATTTGCCTCCTCATCTCGGCCATCTCTTCCTCCTGGGCCGTCAAAGGGGGCGGTGGTGGAACCCTCATATCCGCACAGTCCCGGTCCCAATGCCGCTGAGGGGCCCTAGTATTTTCCCGCTCGGCATACTGGAAATGATGACCGACGGGAGTTGGTCCTCTAGCTTGCGACCCGACCGGGGTTCGGTCACTGGGACTGGGATGCGCTGCTGGTGGGGCGCTACGTCGATTATCCCGATGGGTATGTGAGCGGGATGACGTTGTGGTCGTTTCCGCGCGTGGAGTTTCTCCTGTAAAGCTGGAACCTCCTTCTTCTTCGTTTGCCATGTGCTGCATGAATTGGGCCATGTCACGCATGGCCTGGGGATTTCTCCTCAGAGATTCGGGAATCACAAAATCCCCATTAACACGAGGATATGATCCTCGACTGGATTGTCCCTGGGGGTTTTGACTCCCCGGGGTGTGACTCCTCCCGTGACGGTGTGAACCGTCGTTTGTATGATAGGAATTGATTCTGACCATTTTTAGAAATAGAGGTTTTTTGGATGTTTAGAAAGTGAAACTTTTTGCAAGTTTCCCACAGACGGCGCCAATGTTGAGGGTAAGTCCCGCAGATCCGAAAGCCCAACACGAACTTTGGATATATCAGGAATGGCCCATAATCAAAGTGTATAAGAAAATATAAGATCTGAACTAACTAAAACTCGAAAGCTCACTTGTATTAATTAACCAATCTGATTACAAGGGATTTCCCGATCGGTAAGTCGGAAACTATGCTTTAATACAAGGAATAAGAGCAAATGATGCTATTCTAGAGCTTGAGTATTGAAATGCTAACCCTTACAATGACTTGAAACCTTCTATTTATACTAATGGAGAGCATGGGCTGCCTCTTGCTGATTGGCCGTTGTTCCACCGACTTGGTCATCCATGCTTCCACTTGCTGATGTCATAGTCTGGCATTAACTGCACCTGGCCACTTGCTGGTTGGCCGTTGCTCGAACGGGATGTTGGTCCATACTGAAGATGCTGTCAAATTGGCCCAAGTATAGTATATAGTCCGAACCTCGTTCGGTATGTCTTCTTATTGGGCCAACCTTTATTTAGGCCGAACTCCGTTCGGTATGTCTCCTTACTGGATCTTTTCATCATAGAGTGATGGGCCTGTTACTTGGGCCGGATACCTTGGACCTTCCCGATCTGGGTATTGGGCCTTTAGGTCAATATCCCAACAAATAACTTTTGCCATGTTTAATCACATGAATCTTATCGGTACAAGGAATTGATTTTGGAATTGCAAATTTTGTTTACCAAGAAGGGTGTTCGTGACTCTTGAGGAGTTTTGCTAATATTACGTTACTATGTTTGAGATTATTATTTTTAGAATAATATTATATTGCTAATTCTTATATATGGTGCATATTAAATTAAATTTGTATCAATGCCTAAAATAAGTTAAACTTTATTATCTATGCAATAAATTATAAAAAGTAAGAAGTAAATGAATTGTGTAATTTTAAATTCACTTCAAATGATCTAAAAATTGTTTAACTAGTGTGTCTCGTATTTAATATTGTTTGATATTTTACAAATCAAGTACTAATTATCTAATAAATTAAAGATAATTAAACATTTTAAAACTATGATTTTTTATATAATAGGTATCATAAGTCTTAAACAATGAATTGTTCTATTGTGTATTTGTTTAAGTTATGTTAGATGTTTTATCTTTTAACTCTCCTATTAAGTATTACATAATGTATGTATATATATTAATTTTGAAAACTAAAAGTTAAGGTGACGAACACATATATAACTAATTAAAGTACAACAATTTTATGAAAATAGGACATATATATAGTAGAAAAAATTGAAAATTCACCACCCCTATGCTCCCCTTAAATCCATCCTTGACATCAACCCTTCATTTCACAATATAATTACACCTGTCACCATTGCAGTTGACTTAAAATCTTGATATTTCAAACTCGCAATTATTATAACACATATATCCATGGACACAGTTATTCCCCCAATTTAAATGGAAAGGAAGAAAGATAAAAGAAAAAGGGGAAAAAAGGTCCAAACACTCGTACGCAAAGCAAGTCCACATTCAAAGAAGATCAAACGGCAAACGCCAGACACCAATTTCTTCTCAAGGATATATCCTGTCTCTCCACCCTCCTCTAGTCCTCTGCCTCTCTTCTCTTTTTCAAGATCTAGTCTCGCTAAGCTGCTTAGTGATACACACCCTTACCGTTAGCTAGTTCATTTCCCTCATAGATATCCCAACTTGCGAAGGCATCAATTAATTCACAGCCACCTGTTTTTTTATCGCTGGAACACTCCCAATCACAGCTGTATTTACACCCCTATATACTCCGTATCTATCTTTTTTTGCACTTCTTCCAAGAATCTCCTGACCCACACACCCTGGAGCTGAAACCCATCAAGATTCCCGTTTTCTATCTCCTGGGAGTTCTTTTCTTTACCGTGTTCGGGCATTCATTTTTTCCAGCAGATTCAGGGGTTCTTGTTTTTTATTGAAAAGTTATCGCGCGCTCTATTCTCTTCTATAGTTATTGTTTCTTGGGTGCTTTTTGGGCTTTGATTCGAAGAAAGATTTTTTTTAAAGTCAACTTCTTTAGCTCCATTTGGTAATTTAGTATCTGCTATCGATAGCTGGGATTTGGGTTTTTGTTGCTTCTGTCTCTCAAAATGCAGTCGGATCAGCGTAAAAAGGTAAACACTACATATCTGCTTTAAGCTTAGTTAGTAAGTTTACTTTGCAGAGATAGTTGTATACGTATATCTGTACAGGGAAAAGATTACTGGAAAAAATAACAGTTATGTCACCCTTTGATGGTCTCTTTCATCAAAACTATCAAAGCTCTAATTGATGTGCTGATGATATAAGGTGCAATTAGAAAGTGTTGTTTGGATAATCTTTGAAGTATTGACACAAATAAGTTCGGATTATCTTTAAGATGGCAGTTAAAATTTGTGTCAGACTGTCAGTTCGACACAAATAAAAGTTTTGTAGTATGAGATTAGACAATAGTATTAGATTCTTGGAAATGCATGAAGGGTATAGGTATCAGATTTTGTATAAGGCTTTGTGCCTTTGTTGAAGGGATGTGGATGATTTAAGGATTTTGCCTTGGGCTGAAGATAAAATGCTACTATCAACTGGAAACCAGACTACACTATGCTCCACCTTTCCTTCATTTTATCCACTTGATGGAGATGGCATCTTTATGCATTTACGCGACCTTCCATAGTAGGGAAGAGGAAAGATAGTCATCAACCTTTTAAATCTGGTTGTGGTCGGACTGTAGTTGCATCTTGCACTGAAGTGGAGTATTTTTTGCATTGAGGTTACATAAAGTTGTTCAAATACTCAAATAGAATATCCAAATAGAATAGTACTCACACTATCCCATTTTATGTGTCTAACTATTTCAATGAGACAACCTGAAGATAATCTTATTCAACTTTTTTAACATTTAATTTAACATGAACCAATAAAAGTAGCATGATAAAAATTACATCAAAAGTTCTACAACACTATTAGTGCCATGTTTATTTAAGCAAGGTAAAAACAAAGTTGTAGTTTGATAGATGAATAGAAACTAAGACATGTAAAATGGGACTGGTGGAGTAGTAAAGTACAACTTTTATGTGTGGTCCAGGATATACAGAAACTTCCATTTGAAAATTATGTTGATGCCTTGTATAATATAGTTTATTTATTCTGATTCATATGTCCGCTTTGAATGTTTGATTGTAAGCATTCATGCATGGGGCCATACGAAGCAAGAAAATATTAGACTAAAAACCATGAAGCAAGAATATTCTGAGTTTTCTTTGGCCTCCTCTCATCCTTAATGTAGTGACATGGTCTTTTGATATCATCATGCAGTCATCTGCAGATGTTGATTTCTTCACTGAATATGGTGAAGGGAGTAGATATAAAATAGAGGAAGTAATCGGAAAAGGAAGCTATGGTGTGGTCTGCTCAGCATATGACACACACCTCGGTGAAAAAGTTGCAATTAAAAAGATAAATGATATATTTGAACATGTCTCTGATGCCACACGTATCCTTCGGGAGATTAAGCTTCTCAGACTTCTTCGGCATCCAGACATTGTGGAGATAAAGCACATACTGCTACCTCCTTCGAGAAGGGAATTTCGGGACATATATGTAGTCTTTGAACTTATGGAATCTGATCTTCATCAAGTCATTAAAGCAAATGATGATCTGACTCCCGAACATTATCAGTTCTTCCTTTATCAGCTTCTCAGAGGACTAAAGTACATACATACAGGTTGTATGATTAATGGTTTTGCTTATCAATTTGTTCACTTATTTATTTCTTGAGAATAAATTTACTTCTCATCTTTACATAATTCATCAGTATTATGAAGTCTGTGATAAATGGAAAGACATATCATTTGTAAACTTCCGATAACTGATAGTCTGATACTGTTGGAATTCTTTCCAGCCAATGTGTTTCACCGAGACCTGAAACCAAAAAATATATTAGCAAATGCTGACTGCAAGCTCAAGATCTGTGACTTTGGCCTTGCTAGAGTGGCCTTCAATGACACCCCAACGGCTATATTTTGGACTGTAAGTATTCTATTTCAGTCTTTTTGGTATTTACTACTCTCTCCGCCCCCAAAATGTAAGATATTTAGGTTTGGCTCTATTTTTTAGAAAATAAATGATTACTTACTACCTCCGTCCCACTAAGATTGGGACAAGAGAAGGTGGCACGATTATTAAGAAAAGTGGGTTTGTGTGGTTGATATTAAATTGATAAAGTAAGAATAAAGTAAGAATGATTTAGAGCCACACAATCTTTACCAAATTTGGTATGGGACAATCTTAGTGGGACTTCCCGAAAAGGTAAAATGGGACAATCTTAGCGGGACGGAGGGAGTATTATTCTACAGTTGTAACCTTCTAAAAGGAAGAAAAAGCATTATGAGTCCCCAAAAAGTAAAAAGGTGAATTCATAGATAAAAGTGAAAAGTGGGAGAGTAAAAAGTTGGAGAAGTTCAAAGGACATGTCTGTAATTTTGGAATAGACTAAAAAGAAAAGTGCACCTAAGAATATGGATCACATTTCTTTTGAAAAATATTGAATTTACCTTGGTTAATAATAGATTATTGAACTTTCAATTCTTCTAGGATTATGTTGCTACAAGGTGGTACCGGGCTCCTGAATTGTGTGGGTCATTTTTCTCCAAGGTACTTTTGTTAACATTTACTGCTGTCGACCATTTTATTGATCAGTACATTCCATAAATAATTTGCACATTCTTGATCAAAACCATTGTATACTAAAGTATGTCTAGTAACATTTACTCACAGTATACGCCAGCTATTGATATATGGAGCATTGGCTGCATCTTTGCGGAGCTATTAACTGGAAAGCCTCTTTTTCCTGGGAAGAATGTAGTTCACCAATTGGATCTGATGACTGATATGTTAGGAACACCTTCTCCTGAAGCTATTGCTAGGGCAAGCCCCTACCTGTTTCTATTTACATGATTCATTTGGTTCCTTTTTCTATTTGAAGCTTCCGTGGAAGATTAATAGTTTGTTGTCACTTACAGATAAGAAATGAGAAGGCCAGAAGGTATTTGAGCAGTATGCGGAGGAAAAGGCCCATACCTTTCTGCCAGAAATTTCCAAATGCTGACCCCCTTGCACTTCGCTTGCTGGAAAAGATGCTCGCTTTTGATCCTAAAGATAGGCCTAATGCAGAAGAGGTACACATGCACATTTCTTTCATGAAGCTTTAGCTTCATAGTTTCTAGTCCAATTTCATAAAGATCATGTTGTGTCACAAACTGCCACAGGCGCTTGCAGACCCATATTTCAGAAACTTGGCAAGAGTTGAACGAGAGCCTTCTGCTCAGCCTGTTACAAAAATGGAATTTGAGTTTGAAAGGCGGAGGATAACAAAGGAGGATGTGAGAGAGCTAATATACCGTGAGATTCTTGAGTACCATCCCAAAATGTTGAAGGAGCACTTGGAGGGAGAAGAACCAACAGGGTTCATGTATCCTAGGTATTGCTATTTAGTTATTTGATCTTTGTTCTCTTTCAACAAATATACAAGCTCTTGCATGGTTTTCTTTTGTGACTACTTGCTTCTTATCGAAATGCATGCCAAACTTTTGTTACCAACATCACATAATCTCTGTCCAAGGAACTGAGCACATATCGACAATATTTGCCTTTTTAAACTCTTTTTAAATCTTTTTAAGTAGTTTTGTTGATATGTTTTAGGGTTATTTGGTTCAAGGATTTTGGAGGGGAGGGAAGGGTGATATTTATTTTATAAATAATTTCTGCATTTAGGTGGTTGAAATAAAGTGAAGATAAAAACATGTTTAAAAGTACGATCTAACTCATCTTATAGTCATTTCAAGCTTAAAGCCCCCAACGAGTAGAAATATGTTAATAAAATAATAATTAATCTGTCCCTTCACTTCCATCAGAAATCCCCATGGCTCAAACCAAGCAATCCCTTAATGTGGGTAAATTGTAGCTATAGTTTCTGGCATTTAGAAGTACATAACATTGGTAGTAGCATGTGCAATTACTGGTCGGCATACCCTTGATTGATTTCCTAGTTCACTAATCTACTGCTACCTCATTGTTGGTGAGAAGCTAATGGCATATCAATTTTGGTTAGCAGACATTATTGAAACAAGACATGCATGTTACATTTTACTTTTATGTGTGATTAGATAACATAAAGCGCTTCTTTTACTCCAGTACAGTCGGCCCACCTGACAAATACTTACTTTTCCGAACTATGATTAATTTACAGTGCAGTAGACAAATTCAAGAAACAATTTGCATATCTTGAAGAGCACTATGGAAAAGGTGGAGTAGTAGCTCCTCCTGAGAGACAACAAGCATCATCCTTACCCAGGTAGGTAGCTATGTGATAGTATTTATTTATTAAATACTTCTTAGCCTCTAGCATGCCCTTACTGTCACTGCTTAGTGTTCCTAGCTTTCCCTTTTCTACATCTGTTTATTCATTTAAAAATAATTATGATGTCTTTTCCTTGTTTATATGATTTAATGACTAAATAATGATTTGGACATAGGGCATCCGTGCTATATTCGGACAATTCTGTGCAAAATCCAACTGACATTGCAAACAATCTCTCTAAATGTTCTATCAAAGACCGTGACAAGTCAATCACGGACAGGAATTTCGGTGCTCCCATGACAAGACTTCCTCTCCAAGTTCCTCAAGCTATTCAAGGTAGACTTATCTTCTTTCTCTTTCTATCTTTCAAGCTATCATGTGCATGGTACGTAGTATATCCAAATGAGCATTATTTAGATGCAAAATAAGTATCAGTCTCTGCCCCCAAATAATGCTCACTTTCCCTTGTATCCATCCTTAAACCATCTCTCATTTCCTTTCAAAGAATATATTATGTGGCTCATATTTTTTCGCTCCTTTGACTAAATCTCAACACAACAGTTTTTTATTTTCTTAATCATTGTGCCTCAAAATGTGGGTTAATTTGAGACAGAGGACGCATTTATATTCAAATGAACATTGTAGAACTTGAAATGGATGTGGCAGGCCGGTGGGCGTAACTCAGTTGGTAGACAGGGGTGCCACAAGGGGTAAGTTTCGGGTTTGGATCCTGGCAGCTGCGATGAGAGGTACTATGTAAAAATGCATTGGGCCTCTGCAAGTACTTAAGTCAGATCCCACTCGCTATATGTCACTCTGTGATTGGCCGGTGTTGGGACCCTCAGAGACGGGTGTCATCCTTCTCTTTTGGAAAATGGATGTGGCAAAAAAAAAAACCAATGAAACAAACGTTCTTCAAATGCAAAAAGACCAATTATAACAAAATTATAAAATACCTGGATATAAAATTACATTAAGATGTACGGTAGGTGTATCCCTTAGTTGATGGCTGTTCTTTAATGCAGCAGCAGGTGATGCAGCAAGGCCTGGTAGAATCGTTAGTTCAGTTATGCGCTATAATGGCAGTGGATCAGCAGCAACTGAGGTGGTTGAACAACAGCGAAGAGTGCTCAACAAGAACCACCCTACTACTGCTACTATGCCCCAATATGCTATTTCTAACCCTACAACGACATATTCTAGGAGACACCCCAGCTGTAAAAGTGAAAGAGGAGAAGAAGGCAGTGAGGGGACTAATGGTGTGCCTAAAACCACCGCCGATCACTACATAGCTAGGAAAGTTCCTGCTGCAGCTCCTGGTGGATCATCAGGAACCCAGTGGTATTAGCATCTCCTGGTTCCCGCCTAACATATACCTTTTTTGCTTCCTACAACAAGGATGGGTCTGAGAGTTCTCTCAGCTTTTGGTTTTCCATATGTGACAGAGCATGCACATAATTAGGAAGTATGAGAACTTGGCCGGCGGGACCTTTTAGGCATAAGCATAACATAAGCTCTCTCATCATCCACAACATTTCTAAGAAAGAGTGGAGCTGTGGGTGGCATGGCATTGAGAAGACGTGGATGCTCAAAATGGGTGGGTAAGAATTGACGTTACATACTTGATTTACTTGTTTCTGTTTTAATTAATATGTAAAGCAGCGAAAACATGGTGTAAGAACTACCAACTTAGATTGTTTCCACTGTGAAAGCCGGTCATTTTTCATCTGAATCTAAGCTCCGAACTAACAACAAAAAAGGACTTCGAAATCAAAACAATGCTACTGTAAAACTTCAAAAATTTTGTATTATCTGTCTGTTGACAATGACCATCCCCGGAATCAACATTTCAGTTATATTTGTAAAATTTACTCTAGTAATGTTTGTTTCAGTTTCTGCAAATACTTTAAACTATTTATAGTGTATGTTCCCAATAATAATCTTTATTCGGATGAGACTCGAACTTACGTTGTGACATAGAGTGAGTATGTGTGAGTAATGTGTGTTTTAGCTTTTGCTGTTTGGCATGTTTAGTAAATGACAACTCTATTGTGACTCGACTCAACTTGCTAAACTAGCATTTTGGAAAGTGAGTGATGCAATCAGATTTCAAACCATAGTTGGTTGTATGATTTTATAACTGATTACATCAGAGTGTGGTTACAACAATAAGATTAATCCGCAACTCTTTTTGGGTTTAGATAAAGGGAGTCTCTCACTCTCTCTGAGCACAGACGCCTGATTTATCAAAGAATATGATAAATTAAATGATTATTACACAAAAATTCCAATCGTTTAGAGGTTGTGATAAAATTATTACATTACATATATGATTATATAAAAGTGCACATTTTCAGTATCTAAAATAATACTATGAACCATCCTAAGTGCCTGTAGACCTGTAGTACATTACATAAAAGTGCACATTTTCATCACGTTTTTTAAAAGTGGATTTTTTTTGTTTTCACATCCTCATTATGCATTTATGCCTCTCAAAAAGTAGATAAAGAGTAGTGTGAGGAAGAAAGTGGATGTAAAGTAGGTAATAAAATAAGGATATAAGAGTAACTTTATATTAAAAAGTTGTCAAAAATAGAAGGGTCAAGTTTATTTTGGACGGAAAGTGTGAAGTTGTTTTGGACCGGAGGTAGTATTTCATTAGCCAATATGTCATTATTAATATTTATTTTATCAACAAGATCTGTATATCCCCCTCTAACTTCTGGTTAGAGCACAAACCCAACCTCTCTCTTGTTCTTAATATATAAGCTACATTTATGATGAAAGGAAACAACAAAAATTATCGATATATGAATAATAGATATAAACAAAAGTAGCATGCATGGACATGGGGAAGCTAAATGGAAGCTAAAGGAGTTACTCTACTGATGATGGGCTAGTATGCGAGCACGGGCACAACTACACTACATTTCTCAAACAAGAGAACACCTAGGAAAAAAGTTCTTCATATGTCCATATTATCAAGCCAGGTTTTGTTAGGAGGTGTTTATGTTGATTCCTATATAGGCATTTTAGTTGTTCGATGGAATGTCTAAATGAAATGTTGTAATTTGCAAGAGAAACAAATGAATTAGAATTTTCTACACACATTTACAAATCATTGCAATAGAGACTCTCACATCTTATTTCACTGGGTGTTACTCCCACCTTTTGTATGATTATGTTATTCCTCAAGTGGGGAGGGACTGAGGGGCTGGGGGTTGGGGTAAACAAGGTTGAACTTAGGCCTGTCAATGAGTCGGGTCTAGACTTGGACCCGACCCAAATCCGATTGTTTATAACGAGTATGAGTCCTTATTTTATTCCGTTTACTCGGACCCAAACCAGGACCCGTTAATATTTTTAATAAACGGGTCGTCGGGTCGGGTATGATACACATGATTCCGACTCGTTAAGGATCCGGACACGTTTAAAATTTCTTATTAGTATACACACACACTAATACATAAAGTGATTAGTTATAATACTTCAAATAAAAAATACAAACTAATACACACACACACACACACACACACACATATATATAAGGAAGAGATCAAATAAAAAGAGGTTCTTCCGTGCAAAGTGCGAACAATTGCACTTTTTCTTCTCCGCGTTGCACTTTTGCGTGTTTCTGTTTCACTTTTTCGCGATGGCAAAAAACTTCGTTTTAATTACGAAATTGCCACCGCGTTTTTGATCAAATTTAGTTCACTTTTGGCTCATTTTGAGCCATTAGATCTCAAAATGAACGCACAAGATTAATTCTCACTTTGCATGGGAAGACCTCTTTGTATTTGAACCCTCCCCTATATATATATATATATATATATATATATATATATATATATATATATATATATATATATATATATATATATATATATATTATCGCAAGACACAATCTAGAACCCCACCTTCTATTATTATCACCAGCTTGATCCACACCATGTTCTCGCATATTTGACATCATTCTCGGGCATTGGGGTAGCACGCCACTTCCGTGTGATAATCTAACAACATTGACATACTTATCACCACAAACAACATTGCGTTCTCGCATATTTGACACCACTCTCAATTAGAGGGATGACATTTGATGTCGTGTAATGTGACTAATGCATTTAGTATTTATGGTTATGAACTATAGAGTCGAGGTCAAATAAAAATCACCCTTAACGTGAAATCTGCAAATCGTTCAATTCTTTCCAATGCATTATTAGATTTCTATGTTGCACATTTTCTTTGACATACAACTTTTGATTTATTTATCAAAATGCGCATTTTTTTATTTGGCATGTCTCAAGTCTCAACCAAGACCAAGGTTCATAAGTCATCAACGGTCAACCCTTAAATTTTTATTATTTACAAATATATATATAGGCATGGACCAGTTCCGGGTTGCCCGGGCCTGGGCCTAGGACCCGACCTGGGGGTGATTTTTGGGGAGGGCTCAGACTGGGTGTTTTGGAGAGGTTTGGGGTGTGGGGGGTTGGAGGTAGGAATTAATTAGAAAAGCAAAAAAAAAAAAACGGTACCCGACCCAAGCCCAGCCCAGTAGAATCCCGGGCCGTTCCGAGACTTAACCCACAAGAAAAAAGCCCGATTTGGACCAGCCCGGACCGGCCTGGAACCAGTCCATGCCTACAAATATACCTCATATTCCAATCCGCTGTTTTTCAAACTTGCTGTATTGCCACATCCATATCTATGTAACGTAGCTATATTACCTATATATCCATACCCATGTTGAGATTTATATGTTTTAAATATCTTTTACGATTAAAATAAGAATATAAATTGCATTTACAAAAAAATGAACATAGGAAATCCATTTGGACTGATGAATAGACAAATTTATTAACCATAAACATGCTGCGCTGCCAACTTGTTACAATTGAAAAGGCATACATCATTTTGTTATAGCGACAATGGAAAAAGTAATGTCCTCGTGTCTCCTTTGCACGTCATCTTGGGACTTGATAATTGTTCAAACAAACAAATTTCCATCAGTCTAAAACTTTAGAGACAATTAATGAATATGCATATCCTTCAATGAGTTCCTCACCCCTCTCCCCCCATTAACCTATGCAGTATGCACCAAGTGAAAAACATATCGGATATCCTACTATCCCCCCATCATATATATTATGGAGTTACAAATCAAGTTCTCCATAATATGACACGCTCCTGAAATTTCATAACTGGGCTAACATTAATTTTCATATGGCAGAACTGTACAATATGACGAGCCTCCACAAAGCGCTTGGCTACGTTCAAGTTATTCGACGTCACTTACTCTTGAAGAAACTAAGGTCCCAACAACGCATCACCAAACCCTCCCTGCTGTTGCCAGACTGATTCTTAACAACAGTCACTGTTGCGTTAGTGTGATCAACCAAGGGAGCACTAGTCACACTCTGGGAAGTATCACTACAAGGAGAAGCCTTACTGCTTTCAGTTTCCTTTGTTGGAAGGTGCACATTAGCAACATCAGTTGGGGATTCATTCATGGGCACAACTGGCTTGTCACTGTGAGGAGACGTCTCATGCACAACTGACTTGTCACTGTGAGGAGACGTCTTATTGCTTTCTTTTTCTTTTTCAAAACAGTGTCTATTAGGAACAGCTTCCGGGGGCTCATTCATGGGCTCACTTTGTTTTGAAGTAGAAGAGTCTGAAATACTTTGATGAAGTGTTTCTGGTAGGCAGTTGCTTGAGTCAACATGAGCGGTTGTAGTCAGTTCTATGTCTTTAAGTGACTCTAATACAGCTTCCATGAGCATCTGAAAAATAAAAGTTACAAAGGTCATGTAAATCTCGACATGCCAGAATATTTTTAAAAGATATCAGCCAACGTGTTTCTACCCTTTCTTCTTCCTCCATGCTGCTTGGAAAGTCTACCAAATCATTAAGTGAGTATTCCACATACTCATCGTCGTCTATTGAAGCAGGCATGTTCTGATCAGATGTGTCACCATTAGAGAGCTCAAAGCTGATCATATTTGAAGACGAAGGGGCAAGAAGATTGGCTCCACTTTCTGCTTCCTGAAAAGAATCGTTTGAAGTGAGTTTCAAGATTCAGAATTCCAGTTGAAGTTTGAAGTCCATCGTTATGTATCAAGTTTTGAGCATATCTCATCCTTAATATGGTTTCCCATCCTAATTAGGTTTAGGTCCATAATTTTCTCAATATCGATATTGTAATTTTCTCTATTTTGAAGTAATTAAGCCTTAAAAGGCACAAACTGCCACTTGTTAAACATGTATAATGCAAATGACCTACTTGGCCACTTGCATTAGTTTTATTGAAGATCAAATGGAGCATTAATCCACAGTTCCACACGTGTAGTAGTCACGGTTCTAAAAGTCACTCTAGGCGCACGACTAGTCCCCGTCTAGGCGCTAGGCGGTGGCCGGACGCCCCGATTTTAATCTAGGCGCTCCGACTCATTGAGTTGGCGTCTAAGTGAATTAGTCGGCCGCGTAGGGCGCCTATTTGCCTGCCAAGAGCGCTTTATTGGCTGCCTAGGTGTCTAGATTCATCGAACATTTTTTTAGTTTTTTTTTTATTTTAGTATCCTAGGAGATATATGCAGTGTAACTTTAACAACACATATGAAGAAAGCTACTAGTGAGTAAGTGAGTTAGTATAATATATTATTAAATGTGACAAGTCTATAATTCATGCATGTTGATGTGTATATGTGTGTATTTTTTTTTATGTACACACAAACACAACATTACTAATCATTTTTATGCAAAAATATTGATAAAACTACAATTTCTATATCTCTGACTAGTCCCCGCCAAGACGCCCGCCTAGATGCCTAGGCGATGGGCTGGCGCCCGACTAGCGCCTAGCGCCTTTTAGAACATTGGTAGTATTTAACATGTATATTAAGAAAAGAGCTGAAGTCCGAAGGGATTGGAGATGCCATTTAGTGCTTTCATTACTCAATTGTGAACTTCTGCCTACAATATTTCACAGGCAGTTTAGCAAAATTATGTGAAGCTGCGAGAGAAGATGCTTCCGCCGTGCCCCCTTACATAAAATCTGGTTTTGCGGCAAACAGCAGCGGCTCTTCTCAACCCTATTTTCCTACGTGAAATTCTCAACTATATTAATTGAATTTGAATTCTCTCTAAGCAACGGTTGTTTCCCTCTCATGTAGGGTTTTTTGTTTCCGCCGTTTTACTCCGAGCGTGCAGCTATATTAATTTGAGTAAATCGTTAGATTTGATCTCAATTTCAAGAAAGTAATTTAGTCGGTTTGAGATTCCTTTGATGAGGGCATAGATTTTTGTTTTATCAGCAAGAGTGGAGATTCAGAAGGCAAGCTATCGTGCGATGTTGATTGACGTTTGGTGGCATGTTATCGGTGTCGAAAGTGAAGGCATGGCAGAGAATGTGATGAACAAGAATCAGGGTGAGGAAGAAGATGCAGTATTGATGGCCAGTCCGCCACCTGAACTGCCGTCATGGAGGGATCGTGTGGCTAGAGTCGGGAAGATGTCGTTTCAAGATTGGTTTTGGCCATGCATGGTTTATTGCTTTATATTTCTTTTCATCTTTATTTATGTTTCTGTAGGCTTTTTACTTTGTTATTGGTTTACTTGTGTTAGTGGTTTTTCTGAGGTGCTTATGGGAGTTATGTGTCTCGAAGCTCTCGTATATTCAGCGAAAAGTTTAGCTCTATTCTGGGTGAACTTTTCTATGCCTGATCAGGGACAAGGGGACTTTTCGTCTATTTTGAGTTTGTTAATGTGGTAAAGAGTACGGAGACCTTAAGAGTCAGGAAAAATTCCATGTTGCCCGTTTGGTGGTCAGCAATTCGCGCTGCTTCCTTAGAGGTGGTTGCCTCAAAATTTGATCGTAGGACTTTTATTGAGTTTAGATGAAGTCTGTCAGAAAATAGTTGGATTTTGAGTTATTGGCTGGTTGTAACTGCAAACCAATGGTTAAATTAATATAATTTGACTTTTTTCCTTCAAAAAAATAAATAATGTGAAGCTAGAGGTAATACCTTGTCTTCATATTGTTTATCATTTGCAGTGATGTTCGACGGTACCTGAAAAGGGATCCATATTATAAGGATTAGACATCAAATACTGTGCTAAAGAAGTACTGCAAAACAATTGCACCAAAAGATTAATGGGATAATCACTTGGGCATTGGCATAGGTTGGACATAGCGAAATAGAAAAAAAAGTACCAAAAGTTTCATGTGATCATCACATGGAAATATGATAAAACTCGGACTGATACCTCTGTCTTACTCATAGGCCTTTTGGAGCGAAGTTGCTTAATGCAATCCTCGGTGCTACTCGCTGCTGCACCTGAAATAAATAAATCACACTGGTCAACTATGTTTGAAAACATACACAGCAACAACACTACTAAACTTGTGATCCGTCTGCAAAAGACTGATATGTTTCGATTACTAAAAAACAATATTACAAAATTGACTCTTTACAGAGATAGAAGGAGTAATAAAAAACCATGTAACAACAACAATCGAGTTAATATTAATAAGTACCCAAATGGGTCAATCAGAAAATCAACCGAATAGGCGAATAGCCAAACACATAATACAAGCTAGAGAAACCATGAACAGAATCCATACCTACAGTGGTAATTGGAACATCCACACGAGATCCTACTTCATGGATGTTATTCCGATGAATCTAAAGGCAACAAGAGTTAATCCTTTTCAGTGACCCTCACACATAACAGTTTCCTTTCCCTGAATTGGAAGTGAATAACGTGATGGTAGCAGATTACCTTTCCAAAATAATTGTGTGACATGCCAAAAAAATCCCCTAATTCATCATCAGGAGGCTGTAAAACATTGTTGAAAAAGATACTTATAGAATCAAAATAGAATTGTGGACGCGGAGAGTTGTGATCGCCTTCAAATTTGATAATATTTTTGTCCCCCTGGAAAAATACAACATCAGGGGATCAGCTTTTTAAATATTAAAAGGGAATTTTGTATGCACTTTGTACCCTATATTTTATAATCATTGCTGAGAACACTATGAGAATGAGAGCCTTGGCGCACCGGTAACGGTGTTGATGTGTGACTGAGAGGTCAAGAGTTCAAGTCGTGGGAGCGGCCTCTTGTCAAAATGACAAGGGAAGGCTTGTTCCTCATACACCTTTGTGGTGGGACCCTTACCCAGACCCTTGCCTTGCGGGGATGCCAGTGTGCACCGGGCTGCCCTTCTTTTGCTGAGAGCACTATGAGAGTTGTAAAATAAGTAAAATGATCTCCATATTAAGAGTTTAAAGACTCTCTCCGAGTGATAGTCGCCTTCATTTTTCATGGGTGTCCATAGTGCTCTTCCCCTTTTTGGGTGATTTGGCGGGGAGGATATGGTGAGAGTAACATAGATTTCACAACTCATATTGTCATTGCAAATAGTCATGCAAAACAATAATTTAATTTGGTTGAATAAAGCATGTTACTAACGATTTGTTCGGCATATATTAACATAGAGATATGTGCTTATTTATATAAGACACAAGAGTAAGCCTTTTTGCAATAGGTGGATTCGGCTAGTCATTATCAACACAATAATGGAAAATCAATAAAGCTAGACGATTACCATATATGCTTCAAATATACGATCAGAATGATGTGGTCGTATAAAATCATCATCACAAGCATGACCGATCAAGACAGGCACAAAGCAAGTCTTTGCTACCTACACAAAGGAAGTGATAAGGTTGTTCACTATAATGCATCAGAAAAATCTATAGATAAATCAGATTTCTTTTCTTGTTTAAATGCTTCACAAATAGTAACACCCCTTTAAAATGATTTCCTAGCAATTTTCTTTAACAACACCCATTATGGGTCATCATAGTGTGCAGTGTGCCAAGTTGCTAAGTTAGAAACTCAAAAGCATTCATATTTGTAATGCAAATACTGCTTGAAAATTAGACACCGCAGGTAGAAAATTTCCAACACCAATTCTAGTTCAGTTGGAAAGCTGGCCAACATATTTGAGAGCCATTAGACATTACATGTCTAGTATAACATATCTTTTTTAAATATCAAGATCATAAATGCTACTAGTTCCCATTAAAAGACTACCTCAAGGAAAAAAGGATATGATAGCATGTGAAAACAAATGTTTAAACCAAGCTCCAAAACAGCCAACCAGCGGCAAGCAAAACTTTGGAGCTCACATGATATGAAGAGTGGACAGCATCTAAGATAAATCCACATAAGAACTTGTGCAGAACTAAAGCCACTAAAACACAAACTTCATCTCCGTACATGCCCAATAAAGATCATCTCAATCTCAAATGTTCTATAAAAATTAAGAACACAGTAACTGGCTTGCAATTAATTGTGATATCAAAATTATATTAAAAAATCAATAAACACATTAAAAATTGAAACTAAAAATTTTAAAAGGTTTTAGTTTCATGTACCTTGATAGTGTTCAACTCTGTTATGTCAAACTTTGCCTTCTTAAGAACAGCTCTCTTCATGTACTGAATGGCAAACTTGACCTAAATTTGGGAAAAATAAATAAAGATGAAGTATTCAAACAGGACCTAGCAAGTGCAAAGGTTGGACATGGATTCTTCCTGGATTCTTCCGTTATGATGCTAGCCGGGAGGACGAGCCAGATTTAGCATTAACCAAAGAAGACAAAAACTAAAACCCGCCAAAGAAAACAAAATATAAAACCCACCAAAGAAGACAAAAATAAAACCCAGGAAGACATGGTATAGCATCCCCACTGCATCACATTTCATCATCATCATCATCATCATCATCATCATCATCATCATTACCCCAGTGCCGCAAAGGCTCCCACCTACAGTGGGGTAAGGGGGGGTCGGATGTACACGGTCTTACCCCTGTACAATAGCACAAAGAGACTGTTTCCGGATGACCCATAGTGAAATTCACGTCGAAAATTGCATGGACTAACTGTTGCTTCATAGCAAAGAAGCGCAGACAATTTAGTGAGTCATTTTGCTTTATTTCATCATATTTACAAGTCAAAAAATAGTGAGTCTTTGGCGCCATTGCAAATGATGAAAATAGGAAATGATGGAAATTTAGCAAAAATATAGCATTCCCACTACATCACATCTAAAATATGTAAATTTAGCAGAGCTTACTGTGAACTTGGGAAGCCGTATTTTGTAAGTGTCCACCAGTTCCATCATCAAATCAACCAAATCAGAAAAAGGGCTATCCAAAACCATGCCGGCAATAGAAGGATCCTCAGCACCATACATAAGGCTGCAACAATAAGTGCCTCAATTCAGTAGTTACTAACATCACAACCTATAGCATCAATAAAAGAATAGGACTTCGCTATCTGCAGATCGCCTAAATGGTCTTTCAGAAAACGGATACATTCTAGTTGAAAATAGTTTTGGCAACTGAAGAATTTATTGTATGGATATTAATCTTAATTTCTCATTATAACACAAGTTTTAAAAAGGTTCTGCATCAATAAACAATATACATGTCCTAGGTGAACTAAGAATATGGTCGACTGGTCCTAATAAGTATATAAGGAATACCTTGTAACAGCACCCATTGAACGACCCCACAAGCCAATTAAAGAAACATTTCCATCTTGCCGTAAATATTCAACAACAGCTTTAAGGTCATTTCTCTATATGAAAGGGAAACAAACTGTCATAAGTCAATAATGGTAAAATGTGAAGTTAGGAAATACGCAACCTCCAAAATTATGTAACTCAGAGGATTCATGCATAGCTTACTAGGCTCTTGCAAGTAGCTTATCAAAACTCTGGCATCAATAAATTTAAAATTCTCACAAAGGATAGAAGTAGATAATGACCCACCGCGAATAATCTTTAAATAGTTTCCACACATTAATTCTGTTTCCAATGTTTTACAAAACTATGATTGTTATTGTATTATATTCCAATAGTAAAAATTGTAGCATTTTCCTATTGTTACCAATTATTCTTATGTTTCATAACAACAACATTACCCCAGTTCCGCAAAGGATCCCACCTACGGTGGGGTAAGGGGGGTCGGATGTACAACGCCTTACCCCTGTACTATAGCACAGAGAGGCTGTTTCCGGATGACCAATGATGAAAATCACGTCAAAATTGCATGGACTGACTGTTGCTTCATAACAAAGAAACTCAGAAAATTTAGTGAGCCATTTTGCTTTATTCCATCATATTCTCAAGCCAAAAAATGGTGAGTCTTTGGCTCCATTGGAAATGGGACATAATATTTACCAGCTTTAAGAAACTTAGATATGCTCTCCTATCTTAGGTAGACAAAAAAAATCAGAAATGATTCAAGGCTGCGAGAGTATTCCAAGCTATAAAGCAAGGATGGGGTAAGTGAATCAACATTTTCCAAAACAAATATGAGATGTGGGCACATAAACCATGAATCCAGATTCACAACAGTACAATATCAAACTTTGTTCTAAAGAAAAGCTGGCCATAAATGTGCATTCAAATTTTTTATAACCAGCAAGAATTTGCATGGTACTGCAGCAGTTGAGTCGCTGGACTTGCTGATATGAAGAAGTTACTAAAGAGATAAACAATCAAATATTTTTTCTTCCTTTTTAAGAATGTTTATAATTGGACTGAATTTCCCTGGTCTGGTCCGGTTTGTTTAAGTTTGGTCAAATAGATGTATGGTCCATGTGTATTTTATAGTTGTCGAACTCTAGTCCGGTCTGGTCTATTTAAGTTGGGTCTAATCTATTCTGGTCTGGGCTGAAACTAGTCCAAGTAAAAACATCCTAAAAGGCAACATGATACTTAGCTACTTACTTCATTCCACCCCAATGTAACATGCTCTCCCCCAGACAGTCCAGATCCAGAAAAGTCGAGGGTGAATACAGTAATATTTGATGGCAATAATATAATAGCAGCTTCACTGGCATCTGCTCTACAGCCACTGGAAAAGGATCGTTGAAAAGGGAATTAGTTACATCTAAATTCGAGAAGGTATGTAGCCACTACTGCACATTTAAGCAAATAAAAAAGGTGGGGCCATGCAGGTTAGACTACATCTGTACAAAATATAAAAGATAACCAGAAAAGCCAACAAGTGCAGGTTGGCAAGTCCTATATTGTACAGACCACCCTGAGAATATGCTGGCCAGAGAACAGAGTTTGCATTCAAGATAGGTTTTAAATGTACGTAGTATAAACACAATTAGCACTGTAGCAACTAAGGCTGTGACCTTTTTTATTTCATGTGTGATTCCCTTATCCCCAGACAAAATGAAAACGGGATCAGAAAAATCAAGAGGAATAAGTTACCACTCAACCTATATTCCACAGAGATCTGGATATTGCTGGAAAGAGAGCACAGTTTACCTTCAAAAGGCGTGCGAATTGAGAAGATGTATAGCATAGTTAGCAACTTCTTTCTAGTGCAATTTTCCTCGGTAGAAATAATTTCTTAAATTTCAAGCTCATGCATGAAGTACAACCGTGAGAAAGTGAAAATGAAAACTGATATGTATACCTATTGCTCACATGCAACACATCCTTATCTTTTAATGATCACTCTGAACCCTAGCTCACCATCACAGTATTATACCGTTATCTAAATTCAATAACCTATTAATGTGCACATTTTCACAAACCTGTTTCCATGACAGTATATTACACATGGAAGTGGCTTTTCTTCAGGACAGATGATAGGCATGTAATGGCTACATTTAAGTGCATCACCCCGACTGTTTTTTACCTGCAACATGATAAAAGCATCACTTCGAGTAACTGGTGAGTCCATATTTACCAAGACACTACTTTGACTATTAATATATTTAAATAGCTATTAGTAAAAATTATATAAAAATCTAATAAAATCATTGTGATAAATTTAAAAATACTTTTCTAATTTTTTTTCTAAAATATTAAGCAATAAAATATAGTTAAAGTAGAGTTTGTGAATAGCGTAAAATTTAACATGATGCAATTAATAAAGAACAGATGTAGTATTAATATGTTAATCTGCACACTTAATGTAAATAGCCTTCATATCAATTAGTTTGTCAATTAGCAATAGCATATTAGAAAGGGAAACTTCCCCAAATAGGATTAATAATACTCCTATTTTGGAATCACATTATTTTTACTCTTATTTAGAACAATTTTTGTATTAGAAATGTTAATAAGTTACAGATATTTACCTTTTCTGCACAAGGCTACACACCATATATATATGTACAATTTACAAATTAACATTAGCACATTCTCTAAAAACCTATAGTCACTTGGGTTTACTTTTATATGTGATACAGTGTTGTGGCTTCAGGAGTACAAGAAGACAGAAAAAAGTGGAAGATACAGATGCTTGTCGAAAGCTTGACCTCAGGAGATCATCTATTGGTTCATGAATCCGACACCAGCAGTTTAAGATTAAAGACTATTGGTGTGACATCTTCTGGTTATTTCTCACGGGAATTATTCAGGGGGTTTTATTTCGATAATTGTCTAGGTATTTCTGAGATACATTTCTGTCTACATAAGATTCTTTAATGGAAATCGACTATATTGAAATTAACAAAGCAAATATCATTCCAAGACAAGACCGGCCCCAAGCAAAAGTCCAACAATCAGACTTAGACTCTGCCACCCGCAAATGAGCCGCAAGATTCGCTAAACATATAACGAGCAAATGAAAGCTTAACTTGACCATGTTGGTCTCCATGTCCCTAAACTGATATGAAAGGCTTACAACCCCTCTACCAATTTAAAAATGAAAAAAGAAATAATAAAGAGTACACAAATAAGTGAAATTGTAAAAAAATGGCATGAAGAAATAAAATCGAAACGAGCCATCAATATCCGGCCATGCAGTGCCTTTGCCAAATTCCACTAGACCTGCAAAAAAAATTCACCAGCCAGAGCAGCAATGACATTTTATTCTGGTATGAAGCTCATGAAAATTATAGAAATATAGAATCACCCTTCCCATTAATGGCAGTGGTTCGGGAGGAGGGGCTGTCGGACCACCATAAATGGATCAAGAAGAATGATGGCCTTCAAGCAAATCAGATCTAGGACTTGGGAATATCTTCAATAGAAATTGAAAAATATAGCATCTTGCAGCAACTCGCATCACAAGTTTGAGCAGATGTCACCCACAAAACGATTTCCAAAATTGACAGTAGAAAAAGAACTCTAGGCATACTAAGGAATCAAGTCAATAAATCACTGCACATACGAGCTCCAGGCCACTTTTTTCAGACCGACCTCATCCACAATGCTGCATTTTCCGTCAACGAAAGAGCAGTAAATATGATGTCGCGGACCAACACCCTACGCAGCTCTCTTGTTTCGCCAAGAGGCTGAATGTCTTCTGTCTACATAAGTTGTGCCGTCTTCTACATGCTCTTTTCGAATTACTTTATAGTTTATAGACGTTTCTATACTTCATACATCAGTACATCCAGAGTCCTGTTCGCGTAAGTTACAACCTTTTATTTTTAGTCTATTCAATGAAGGTACAAGCTCTTACAAGTTTTGAATGGTTAGTTATATCCTAAAACTTACTTCCAATACTTTTTTGGATGAGGGAGTATTAAATTTCAAGCCATCAATGATGGGGTAAACACTACCATCTAAAATAAAAATTCCAACAACATTTAATGGAGGCATCAAAGAAAGGAAGTCGTAGTAAATTTTAAACTGATCTTGATCTCAAATATATAAGGCTGTACCTCCAAATCTTTCCGTTGGAACCACTTCCCTTTGAGCATGAATTCTTCATCTAGTAGATCATTCTTCGGGTCATATTCAGCTCTGAATTCCAGAAGATATATTCATTAACCTCTTATAAACTTTAGTCATGAGAACGGTGGAAAGAAAAATGGAAGCAATTTATTAGCCAAGACATAAATTTTACGGAGAATATGACATTATATCAGATCATGACACTAAATGACTGTTTGGTAGGCTCTTTTACAATTTAGTATCGATCATATTTTTTACCAAACACTAATTTATTTGACTTCACGCGCTATATGGGTGATAACCGGAGACGATCACTTTAGCCTTTTCTTCATGTATTTTGTTTTTGTTATATCACTATTCACTAACATCTATTTTATTTTCGCATAATTAAACAAGTTCAAGAACTTCATCACACTTCTCCCTTACACATACTCCTTATATGATTATAGAGGGGAAAACATGTAACTTCTGCTCTAAGTAGTTAAATCGCTACTCCATGGCAACTCGGTCAAGGGCTGAGTAGCGACTACCGAGTAGGAGCGATTACTTGGGATTACTCGGTGATTAATCGGCCCGGTATTAACTAAATTTGAAAAGATGAATGCCCCAAAGTTCTAGTAATATATTAGTTTTATGATTCTTAAATATGAATAAAATAATAATACTCCTAATAATGAAGTAGCAATAAATCCCTACAATCATAAGCATTCTAACTTCCATGAAAATCAATCACCTAATAATACTTAACTCTGAACTTTTGTCCAAAACTAATCTTCATTGGGTTCAAGAATCAAGATCATCATTTACTTCTTCATCTTCCATGTCCCCAAACCTAGAATGACTTTGTAGTCTTATTTTTTCAATTTTATAATACTTACTAAAATTTTCTAAGTTCCACACTATCCCAAATTAGTTTAAATTTTTCAGATGTAACCCCAAAAAAACAACTTACTGGCTTCCGAGTAACTCGGCAGGCTTAAGTTGTGACCGAGTAGAGAAAATTGCTGAGTACTCAGCGAGTTACTTGGAATCATGGAACAGTGCGAGTCATAGACTCATAGTACTAATCAGCAAGGCCCTACTATCCTGAGTAGCGAATACTCGGCGATTTGAAAACATAGCTTCTGCTTAAAGCCGAAGAGGTTAACTTTATGAGGCACCATACCTTAAGGTTTAGCAGTTTACTAAATACACCACAACATCAAAAAGTTGTAACAGCTCAAGCGTACAATAAGAAGATAATGGATTATGGGTGTCTGGATGGTCAAGCATAAATGTGATATCAGCATTCTGGAGAAAGCAAGAGATTAAAGTTTACTTCCCCTACTAAAACATGAGGGCTTTTCTAGACCTTGGTGTTTAAAGTTGGAGAAATGAAAATTAGTTCCTTTAAATGATTAAACTATCTTCATTAAACACATTTATATTCCAATTTTCAACATACTTTAGATGACCCCGCTGATTTGTTGTAATTGTGCTTTTTTATGCTCCTATTAAATGAAAAGGAATGATATTTTTTGCCAATAATGCCTACTTGAGTCAGATTTTACACTTTTAACAAATACTCCCTTTGTCCTGTTAAAAGAATCATGCTTTAGAACTTGTGTAAATTTCCTTAAATTATGCTGCAAGCGAGCGGAGTCACTGAGTGTGTTATGCTTGGTTGCAAAATCCAATAAGTTTAATAATGTGTGCGATTGATAATTTATAAGAGTACTACCTAACCAAAATTTAAAAGTTGTACCTTAATGAGACAAAACACTTTTTTGGGGACTGGGGAAGTACACGGTATTTAGAGATCCCTTATATTGCATCAAATATGCAAAGAAATGGGCGTGTACATACAAAGAAGGGTATACACATCTTGGACTCTTGGTATATCCGTATATTAGAAACATTAGTTCTAACTTCAAGTTGGTAAGTCAAAAGCAAAAGTGGATTAGTTCCTTACTCCTTAGACATGTTTAGGCAGTAAAGATTAAAATATGTTCTCCAAAGAATTCAAAATAAGCCATATCCTAAGCAAGACTAAGGATGAGCACTAATTTTTTAGACCATATACTGGATTACTGGTTCTCTATTATTTCTAGAAAACCCGCTTTCAACTTGAATTATTTCATCCAAATAAGTGGTCTCATAAGCTCACTAAGATTCCCAAGTACAAAGAGATCTCTCATAATAACTAAACACAATCTTGAATCCACAGATTTATATAAATCTAGCTCCAAAAATTAATAAATCTAGCAGCCTATTTGCAAGAGCATAGCTAGTTTTTCGGTATAGGAGATGCCCAGATTTCAATTCAAAAACAAAAGGAAAAGAATTAGGCAACCCCATCTCAGAAATTGTAGAAAAAACAAAAAAAATAAGAAAAAAATACGAACTGTGAACTACATGTATAGTACAAACATAATTTGCTAATATATATTGAACGGTTGAAAGGAAAAGAAGGGGAAGATTGGTTAGAACCTGGGCGGTCTTATAATGAAGTTCACAAGCTGTTCCATACAGATTTAATGAACAATGGATGTTTTCATTTACAAAATATATGAGTACACGTCTATGTATTGGTTAGAACAGGGAGATGGACGGATAAAAGGAAGGCAAGTTATTTCCAGAGAGAGGACGAAGAATATGAAGCGGCTTCAGTGCTGTTTGGTACTTTCGTTCTCTCTGTTTCGTTCTTTTGTTTCTTGTTTGGGAAAAATGAATGCGCCGTAATGTTGTACGTAGTATTACCATAGATTATGTCACGTTTTTCACAGAGATTGCTGGCCCTAGGATGTTTTTCCTCAGACTATAATTTGTTGGTCTGATTTGATCTGGTCTGGTCTGAACTAGTCTGGTCTGGTCTGGTCTGGTCTGGTTTCTTTGTATTTTTATAACTATCCAAGTCTGGTCTGGTCTGGTCTGGAATGAATTACAGTCCAAGTAAAAACATACTTACTCCGTAATTTTTTGGGGAGATACGAAAATAAGAAAAGTAACAGGGTAAAACTAAAGTAGAAAAAATATAAAAGAAAAACAAAATAAAAAATTATTAAAACTGGGAAAAACAAGAAAAAAAAGGTAGAAAAAGTAACACAAAAGTATACTCCGTAGTAAAAGTCTCCACGTCTAAAAATTTATAAAAATGGACAAATAATAAAAATATCTCAAAAAGGAATAAGTGACGACTACGAGCATGTTTTGTAATACTCAAATCGACTGCATTGGTTGATTCTGCTGAAATTTATAAAGTTCTGACTAAAGTGGTTGGGTTGGCTGTTTCTGCTGATTTATGCAGGGAAATTGAAATATATTTTATTGATTAAATAAATACAAAATTATGTAGTATATGAAAAAATAGCTAAAATGATCATGTACAGTAACTGCAGCCAATACAGTCAGAAAAATAACAACCTTATTTTTTTCTTATTATTGCACAACCGAGCGCGCAAAATCAAAAGTTACGAGACTGATAAGACTGATAAGCCGAAAAATATGGTCACCAAATGAGCTCTAAAACAACAGGGACAGTATTTCAATACTTCTGATATTTTAAGTGAAATCATAGGGGCAATAAATAGTTTAAAATATATAAAGTATAAAAAAAGTGATGAGAAATATAAAAAATATGATATTGTGAACCGAATCTGGTACATTCCAAAAAGGGCGTCTCGACCCGGGTATAGGAAAGTTGGGACCGAAACCGACGGGTCTCAATGGCTAATGTGATTAATTTTTTTCATTTTTCTCTATTGGTTAGCAACCCAAGGATTTTTAAAACTGTTCACATTGAGGAAATGAGTGACATGACACATCAAAGGCGAGAAAGAGGAATTGAGTACATAATGCTGACTTCATTTTGTTGCAGTCGTAAAGGAATAGAAAAAATAAAAGATTTAAAAAAAATCGGCCATTATTTGATGTGGTTGTGACCGCATCAAATACCTATTTTCACATTTTGTTGTCCCAACTATTGATGTGGTTATCAACCGCAAGAATTACATTAAACTAACCACAACAATTAGGCTTTTTCCTAGTGTGGTTTTATACGTGGCAATTTTGTTATCTTATGGTGTGCAGGGGTAAGTCCTGACCTAAGAACCTAGAGGATGTAAATCATTTTGTGATTAAATATAGCATATCAACTTAACTAAGAAGCTCAAAATGCAATGATTGTGAAACTCAGTTACAAACTTCACATTCGCCATATTCATTATATCTTCGAGAACTTTGGTGGCCCATTTGAAATTTGATACTAGACATTTTGTGTTACTACGTTCTCATGCATACTAAAAATATTATAACATGCAGCAATTAACAAATCTGAAAGAAAGACATTAGTTGTTATTGATTGTAGAATATTACAACTAAAACAATATCAATAAAGTAGATGTATGTCATTGTAATACCAAAAGCAATTTATTATCTACATCTGAACCATCATTAGCACCATTTGCATCCTCATTATTATTATTATTATTATTATTATTATTTCTAATTATATATCTACATTGAAATTTACATTCACACACACTTAAATCATTGGTTTCAAATTCCTGGTTTGAAATCAAGAGAAAGTTTAAGTTTGTCCTTGCATACCTATTTATAGTATCACAAAAGATTGAAGAATACATGCTCTTCTTTTCTTAAATTCGATCTCTCTTTGCAACCCTAATTTGTTCTATTCACTTAAACATCATATTAAGATTCCAAAAAATGATAATAGTTTAACACCAAACTAATTACATTGCAACTCATCAAACAATTTTTAACACATAAGTTTAAGGGTATGTTACATTGTACATAATGAGCATTGTTTAGAACAATAACATGTATTCCAAAAATGAACATACCCTAATTAAACAAAACTCACCTTTAAAGTAGTGTCTTTGTGTCCGGAATAAGGGGAGATGACTCCCAACATGCATTTGATTTTTCCTTGTCACATTATTTTATAATAATGTTATAATATGTGTGTGTGTGTGTGTTAAAGGCCATTATATTGCAAGTAATTAGATATGTTTTATAATGTATAGCTTAGGCACCATATACTTACCACGTGATTACAAAAACTAATAATTAAGCAAGCATTTGATCACAAATAATCATTTGAACCTTGAATGCAAAAGATATCCAAATTAGATGCAATTGAAGAAGATGTCTTCTGATTCTTGAATTCTCCTTTTCAAACTTCTTCGACTTCTTATTTCCTCAACATATGATGTATCGATTCTCTTATGAGATTCCAATCAAAATGAAACGAGAACAATCAAATATGTAATGCTCTGGTTGGTTAATTTGTTTAAAGTCCCTACAAATAGAGAACACTCCCATTATTTGTGTTGTACATGGTTACTTAGCTTGTTTCTTTGATTGGACCAAAGGCCTATACACAGTGAGTAATATTAGGTTTCTAAGAGATGGCTAGGAGTAAAATAAGACATTTTTCTATTTCAAAAGTATTATATATGTTAATGCACTCAAATGAGTGAGATGTAAATTTGCTCTCGTAGCTAGAAAACAACTAAATGACTTTAATATGACTTGCTTTGGTATGTCACTTCCTTATGTGACATTTATTTTGAGTTCCATTTTTTATTTTATCTTTTTCTATCTATTTCTTGGTCATGTGTCCCGCCGTCTACCTAGCTATTCCTTGATCTTTTTTATCTTTAGGAGTTAAACGCTAATGTTATTTGTCTTTTTCTTTTCCTTTTTCCTTCTTTTTATTGTCCTCAATCTGTTCCCACCAAAGGAGGATGATTAGAGCTCTGGTAGATTGAGATATACGAAGATGAAAATGATGAATTGAAATAAAATCGCCAAAGATAAGATGTTTTGGTAAGAATTTACGATCCATCATAGATTGAGGTTTATGCTTGTTAGAGTGTATGGTGCAACAAGAACTCAAATTAAATATTTCTACGAATCTATGGTGCATCATGAGTAAGGTGGTTACTTGAAGGAAAATGAAAAAAAAAACTAAATAAGGAAAACTAGATATTTGGCCATGAATGTCAATAAATCTAGAAATAAATTAAAATGGAAGGAATCACATTCCTTATTGATATCATCTTCTTCCTCTTCAGTGTAGACTACGAGTCTACAACTAAAAGGAAATGTTAATGATAATAAATAGGGATATTTACGAAAATAAAGAAGGAAGAAAAAGAACTTGTTGAGAATATAAGAAGTGAGTAGAACACGCAAACGATGAGTTTAAGATGTTAACGTTAAACCCGTCATTTAATAAGTTTATTTTTCTCCAAAATATAAATGGAAGCTTGATATGAACATCCAATATAGGTAAGTGAGAACCTTAAATTGGAACGAATGAAGTACTTTTTCCGTGAATTTAAAACAAATTATTCATATGTTTTTATGGAAAACAATATATGATTTGAATATATAATGGTCAAAGTAAGAGAATTTTAACTCTAAGAGTAAAAACGAGGATTTATTTGAAGAGGATGAAGAATAATATTTATTTCAAATTCAAAGGGCACGCACCCACTTATGAAGAATAATTTTGACTAATAGATATTAGCTCACTCTTCACTCTTTATTAGTTTCAAGAGTTTAAGTCTTACATTGTTCATATATGTAATCGCATTTTATGTATCATTGTATTATGAAAAAATTACTTGATGAAAAACAATTTAAAATTTATTTCAATGCGATTAAGTTTTCAAAATATGGTTTTTAGAATTCAAGTATTACGTAATCAACTATATTAATTTTCAAATATGAAAGTCAAATTGTTGTAAGTAAATTATAATGAAATAAGTATGTATATGCACATATGTGTGTGCTTGGGTATTGTCACAATTAAAATATATTGATATCATTACGCCAAATTAGTTGGTGTTTGGATGAAATATGAACTGACCATGTTCAGAATGCATGAAAATACAGACTAGTCCAGATCTGTATCATTTAGTTGTGACATAACTTAGATGATCTAACTCGAGATTGACGGAATCGAGATATCATAGTGAGAATAGTCGAGATCGTAATGTCCTAGTACATGTTATTTTAGATCAATTCAATCCTTGCACATATGGTTGGAGCACGACACAGTTTGGTTAGTCGGGAATCGGGACCGAAGACATAATTAGGATGTTTATACTATTCAGTCTCACACCATTAATGACAAAGGTAGCCACGATAAATGAACATGGAAAAAGTAAGAGAAAAAACACGTGTGCTAAATTAAGTGGCACATAGATGCGTGTAATCATAAACAAAGAATTGACAATTTGGCCTACAAGACATCAAGATAAACTCATTTGGTATGTTACCATTTATCCCATATGCTTTTTGTTTCTCTTTCAATTTTGCTTTTGACTCCTTTCTTTATTCATGGTTTAGTTTACCCTTGATATCGTTGTTAGCGTGCTACTCACTTCTTATATTCTTGGCGTACAAATTATTTTTCTTCCAATTTTCATTGTCTTCCATCATTGACATTTCCGTTTGAGCGGTAGATCTCTAATCTACATCAAAGAGGAAGTAGAGGACTCTAGTCTCTAGATGAGAAGCGGTTAACTTCCTTTACTTTTTATCTTCTTTATTAACCTCTATTCACGGTCAAAATCTAATCACCCTTCTTCTCCTTTTCTGTTTTCCTTGGGATACCGACACATACAACGATATATGTAGTTTTTTTCAAGCCCGATGGCAAACCAAAAATGATATATGTAGTATACGACTATACGTATCATGCATGTATTCATAATATAATTAATGTACATCACTCACTCGCAAAAAGGACTCATTTCCATTTTCCACGATCCATACATGTATCTAAATAATTTTTCTTAATTCTTATTTACTACATACATATTCACGCGCAATAAAGATATATGTGTACTTGAATTTGTCAATATCCCAATTAATGAGTTGATGTTGGAATCTCTTTTCAAAAAACATGGGTGTAAATGAAAATCACAAAACATAGACATTGAGTTTGAATTACAGACACTCTATGTTTATATTTTGAATTTAAACTTTTAAATTTTACATGAATATGGTCTTTGACAATACTGCTATTTCATTTATGAACCTTCATATTTTTATGATTTAGCTAATTAATCTCCACATTTACAAATTAGCATACATCCCGCTCGATCTGTATCTTATGTTTTTCAACTAGTGGTATTGTTACACACATGTTTAATTTGTGTGTATAACAATTAAAACATCACTCCTTTTATCTTACTTTGTCTTGTTTTTTCTTTTCGATCCCATTTGGTAGCACTGGAATGACTTAACCAGCCCGATTTAATGAAATTTTTACATGTACAGAAAGTTAATAGCATTGTTGGACTCTGGAAGTTCATATGTTGCATTCTATCATTACGACATGTGCATCGATATATATAATGCACATGCATCCTATAACTTTAAAATGCAGCACTGACATGTGTTTCAACTCCTATCAATGTGTGCTAAATTATTAGACTTATGCATTTGAAAGCTTTGTACTGACAAGTTAATGAAGAAATCCTGACTTGTGATAAGAAAAACTCCGCCTTTTAGTAAGAAAAAACTTCTGGTCGTGATATGAACTAACTTTGCAGCTTACGTGGTTTTAATTGCCTATATTTGGACAATTGAATGATTAGTGGGGGGAGGGTTCATTTCCAAAATTCTTTTGGCGGCTTGGTAAAGAGTTTTATAGATTACTCTAATAGGCTTGTCACTAACTATTGGTAGTGTGCCTTAGCGATGCAATTCAGTACATATCAATCAATGAGTACTATCATGAATGTCATACAGATAGCCGGTCATTTCATGTAAGTGGATGGTGCATATGAGTTTACACTTTGCACCATAAACATACTTTATATTGGAACACACCTCTACATATTTTTTTCAAACAAGAACACGATCTAATGAGAGAAATGAGATAATTCCGAAGCATTGGATTTCAACATCGTGCATTATATGAAACACAAATGTGTACTATTATAAATTAGAAAACGTGCATTCGAACTGTGTATTAGTTTAAACACAAATGTACACACTTAGCTTGAATTTTCCATTATTTTAACTATAAATGTGCACTTTCGTGAACCATGATGTATGTCATTTTGGGGGTTCTCGTTTCTCACGTTAAGGAGTGTTCTCACTAATCACTATAACCTTACACTGCTCTCTATGTATGGTATTCCCAAATATCTTAGAAAGCACATGAGTTTTTTCCTAAAATATAACTAAAATAAAACTTACGGAAAGTGAATAAAGTTATTGTAATTATACTTTTATTATTGTTATAATCGAACATCATTATTGAAATTTAAAAAATTTAAAAGTGATCAAGTCACATTCTTCTCTATCCTCATTTTTTATCATATATGGAGTATGACGTATTGAAGATATTTTTAATTGAACTCAAATTTTCTAGTCACGTTTGACGTAGTCTGGTCTATTTAAATCTGATTTATTTTAATTTGGTCTAATAATTACCTAGTTTGTGTATATTCTAAAACTATTAAAATCTGATTTAATCAAATCTAATGTATTAAAATTTGGTTTGGTCTCATGTGTATTTTAGTGAGACTGAAATATGTCCAATTAAAAACATTAAGAGCCCGCTTGGTAGCATGAAAATCGGTTGATTCGGCTGTTCTACTGAAATTTATGAAGTTGTAGCTGTGCACGAAAGTAGGCCTGTCAATGGGTTGAGTCCGGATCGGAATGTAGTGTTCCAGACCCGGACCCGTTAAGTTAATAATGAACCCGGACCCGACCCGTGTACCCATCGGGTCTGAAATTTTGGACCCGGACCCGGACCCAACGGGTCTCAGAATCAGGTCGGGTAGACCCGCCCGCTAATTATGATACACACACCATTATAAACTTTGTGAAAATAATAAGACATGTATGCGAAATATAAAGCAAAATGTACAAATTTAAAAGCAAAATATATCTTCACTTTAAAAAAAATCAAGGTCTCTCACAGAAAATTAGTACTTTTATCTAATAAAGTATCGGTTCTTGTACATGCATATAGCTCCACACTATGTGTCACTTTCTCTCGCACAAAAAGCTTGTAGAATAAAGTAGAAATTAGGTCATAAAAATGTCTCTTGGACTACTAATAGTATAAAATCATATGTAGTATTATATATGATAATGATATAACAATAATAATACTAATAATAAATAGTGTGCTTTTCGTACTGATTCCAATACACACTTTATCAGTATGTATTTACAGCCAAAATGGACATTAGTTTTAGGGTAACTTACTGTCTCGATTAGTATCACTTATATAGTAGTTATGTATTAATTTGTATATTGTTATTGAATAATCACAACTAATAACTTTATGTATTACTATGTATATATGTATATTAGTTTCTATTTTATTTAAAGTGTTATAACTAATCACTTTATGTATTAGTATGTATATAAAAATAAGAAATTTTAAACGGGTTCGGGTCCTTAACGGGTTGGAATCATATGTACCATACCCGACCCGTTTATTTAAAATACTAACGGGTCCGGATCCGGGTCCGGGTAAACGGAATAAAATATAGACCCATACCCATTAAAAACAACCGGATCCGGATCGGGTCCGGGTCTAGACCCGACCCATTGACATAAATTTTAAACGGGTACAGGCCTACACAAAAGCAAAAGTTACGTGTTTTGTGAAAAAATTGACTTTGAAAAAACATGTTGCCAAGCGGGCTCTAACTTTTTGAAAAAAAAAACATCACCTTTATTTAGTTTAGTACGGTAAATTCAACAAACCTTAGCTATGTGTCAACCAACCTACATATTTAACGGAGACTTCCGGACGACATACTTACTCCTCACATCCCAGCATTCCACCAACTTCCAACTCCTCCCATTGCAAAGCTAGCCATTATCCTCCATATCCCACAGGTATGTATTTTTTCTCATCCATTCCTGCTATACATATTCAAGTGGGGTAGAGAAAAGGTGTCTGTTTAGCCTTTCTTGACGTTTTGATGTTTGTAATTTAGAAACACTAGTTAACTATACGATTAACTGACTTGCTAAAAATTGGGCAGTTTAAACCTGTCTGTCTGTGTCCTATTGGTGGCAGCTAGTGAATTTATATTCTAAATATTTCCTTCATAACTTGGTGTGAGATTCTGAAAGATTTTGAACTACTCTTACTCGTCCTCGCCCCCTTTTGATTTTTTCTTCTTCTGACCCTTAGTGCACTGATTCAGAAAATTGTTTGTTGGACTTTCTTTAAAGATTCTAGGACATGTTCACCTTTTTTCTTTTTGAAAATGAAAAAATGGAAATCCGAATGCGTATTACGTGGCTTGCATACAAAAGCATACTAAGCAGCAGATTCTTAAGGTTCATCCCTGGGTTGATGCTTCAATAAAGTCTCCATATGTGGTTGGTGCATCATCAACTATAAAACATTAAACTAATGATCAAACAGATGAAGTGTGTTTCGTGGTCCCCGTGGTTGGTGGTGCATCATCAACTATCAAGATGCATCAAAGATATTTTATGCAAGAATACGTAAATCTAGAAACTCTTTTATGCAGCACATGTTATTGAAGAAGGTTTTAGATACTAGTAGAGTTTTGCAGTACCTTTTGTTTGCTAACAGAGATTTAAGCGAATCACATTTTCATAACACGTTTTTTCTTTGATAAGATGATTGCTTTAATGCTTTCTATTTCAATGTTTCAGTAGGGAATAGGTGAAAATGGCACAAGTTGTTCCTTCTGCACAGTGGCAAATGAGGATAGCCAAGAGCTCTACTGAGGCAACTCCAATGGCTTCCAAGATGTGGGGATCTGTTGTAATGAGACCAAACAAAAAAAGTGCAGCAAAAAGCTCTATTAAGTTTAGAGTGTTAGCTATGCACTCTGAGAACCACACTGTGAACCGGCTGGAGCAGCTGCTAAATTTGGACATTACTCCATACACTGATAGGATTATTGCTGAATACATTTGGTATGTTTTATGTTCCTTTCACATGTTCCGCATCGTTCCCATCCAATCTTCATCAAGACACAAAAGTATAATTCTTTTAATCTTTAAGTGTTCCCGCATGGGGTGTTTATCAGATACTTAACTAATACAAAAATATGAGGAAAACCTTGCTTCTTGAAAACACTTTTGGTGGGTTAGACTCAATTTAACATGCTATCAAAGTCTTGTCCGGTTGTGATTTGTTAGTTCATTTGGCACCCCATAATTTAGGTAGTCTGTTAGGTTCGGTTGGTTTGTCCCTTTTATCCAGCCGAGTCTGGGGTTGGTTTCTTTGGGGTAGTTGGCCCTTGTGTCCACCCGCGACCCTTTTATTCACCGCTCTAGTGGACAACAGAGTCATTTAGCCTGATGGTAAGTTTCTCTTTTTAATTAGTTGTAACCTATAAATCAATCAAAGCACTTAAATATATGATTCATAACTGATGTTGCATGTTGACTGTAATGCTTATGTGATTAAAACAGGATTGGTGGGTCTGGACTTGACTTGCGTAGTAAATCCAGAGTATGCAAAGCTGATCCAATTTTTACTTAATAGAAAGTGGTATACATAGTAAATCCTTCCTAGTTCTCAACTATGTACTTTTGAATATTCAGACGATCTCAAATCCAGTTCAACACCCTTCAGAGCTTCCGAAGTGGAACTATGACGGATCAAGTACTGGCCAAGCACCTGGAACTGACAGTGAAGTTATTCTATAGTAAGTAATTGTGTATAACACGAAGGGTATCCCTGTAATATGGTATAACCTTCTTTGTTATTAATAGATTTGACTCCCTTAAATATGGTGTTAACCTTATTACAGATGTATCCTTAGGGTACCATACACAACTAGTAAGCTCTTGTGTAAACTTCTTTTTAAATATCATTTCCCTCCTTATGCATTGTGTAAACACATCTTCCTTTTAGCCCCCAGGCAATATTTAAGGACCCTTTTCGTGGAGGAAACAACATACTGGTTAGTGTAATAAACCCTCTTTGAATAATTTTATGTCATTAGTTTCACTGCCACTGATTTGAATATATTCCTGAAATAGGTTATCTGTGATACATACACGCCAGCTGGTGAGCCCATTCCTACAAACAAACGCCACAGGGCTGCTCAGGTTTTCAGTGACCCGAGAGTAGAATCAGAAGTGCCATGGCAAGTTTACTTTTTCAGGCTTTCTTATTGAAACCTGTTTGGTTTTGGGATGGGGGTTGGGTCCATTTTAGGTCTTTTTATGAATCATACGAATAAATTATGCTATGTGAGCCTTCATTCCAAATTAATGCATGTGATTGTTTTGACATGGCATCCAAAAAGTTTTCATTTTACATATAAGGCAATAATATAATGTAAACTAGTCGATCCCAACTAAAGGAATGTTTGCCATTGCTTTAAAAAGCACTTTTATGCTTTTGCTAAAAAATTATGTTTTCAAATAGGCGCTTCTGTCTAATTTTAAAGCACTCTAAAGCAAACATCTAAGCAGGGGGGAGGGTGTTTGGAACTGCATTTCACTTTTTCTATAATACTTCAAACTAATACACCAAAAATTACCCTTTTTAACAAACACTCCAACTTTTTCATAAAATCACTTTTATTTTCAAACAATACCAACCTCTCCAATTAGGCATTTTCTCTATAATTTCTAAAATAAATTACTTCTCACAAGTAAACTCAAGCATTAACTATAGTGGATGATATATGTCGACAGTCACTATTAACATGTCATTTTAAATTTAATGATCTGGACTATTTTTACATCCGCCTTCTGCGGTTATTGCTTACTAGGTATGGAATAGAGCAAGAGTACACCTTATTGCAGCAAAATGTGAAGTGGCCCTTAGGTTGGCCTGTTGGAGGATACCCAGGTCCTCAGGTAAGATAGGAAATAATCTGCATACAATGGGTCAATAGACAATTACTTTAAGTGATGCATTTAGAAACGGTTCTTTTCTGGGAAATGCAGGGTCCTTACTACTGTGGTGCTGGAGCAGACAAGTCATTTGGCCGTGATATATCAGATGCTCATTACAAGGCCTGCCTATATGCTGGAATTAACATTAGTGGCACCAACGGGGAGGTCATGCCTGGTCAGGTGATATTGCGTTGACCAGCCTTGTGTTTAAATTAGGAACCTAATTGACAGGTCTGCGGTTTCTTGTCCTTGGATGACACTCATAAGATATCTTTTACGCAGTGGGAATTCCAAGTAGGCCCTAGTGTTGGAATTGAGGCTGGAGATCATGTCTGGTGTGCTAGATACATTCTTGAGGTAATATATTGCTCCCGTTCAATAGCCTGATGGGGGTATCTATGACCCAAGATGTTATTGCGTCACTTGTAGTAATAGTAAAGCTAAAAATGCATACACTATAACAGAATGTGGTAGTTTGGTGGGCATTAGGCACCCTTAGGTATCTTGAGTAGCTTTGTCACCCAGGTTCAACTCCCACCTCCGACACTCGGACTCTTTATGTAGGTTTTACCTGGCGGCAAGGGTTTACGGGAGATTCGTGTCAGCCCGAGGTTTGGCCTTCACAGTGGTTGGGCTTCACTGTCCAAAGTATTCTGGGGTTATCAATATATATATGTACACACACTACAGATTTCTGATAATATGACTCATGGACTCTTATACTCCCCCCGGTTCCAAAAGATCTTGACACTTTGACTTCACAGTTTTTAAGGAAATAAACACTGTTTGGCACTGTTTGACACTGTTTTGTGTAGACTTATTTGCCAAATAAGGCAAATAAGGAAGTGTAAAGATCTTTCTGGTACTGCTAAAAATGGAAAGTGTAAAGATCTTTCAGAACCGGAGGGAGTATATGAAAAGAAATAACAATAACAATAGCCCGCTCGCATTACTCATGAAGTATTAATATTTAAAGAAGATCCAATCATCCAAATCAAAGTGTATAACTGTAAGTCTATGTGTCTATATGTAATTGTCTGGATTCCATCACTCAATCAGTCAATCCTCAGTTCTTAAAGTCCTGAATTCCTTATTCTCAATCATCCCCTTGGTTCAAGATTGGTACTTTATACATCTTCCCAAATATTTTTCATTGCTTTCTAAAGTTTTGTCCTAAAAGTTTCAATTATTACCTGAATCCAGTAACTCGATGAGTAAAACGAACCTCCTAGTCAAGTAATTGCCGAGTAATTCGTTTTTTGTAAATCATACTGACTAGGTAAGCTACTCAGTGCGCTCCAGGTCCGAGTAGTGAGTAGTCAGTGCTCGCCTATCTGTAAACATTTTTTCCCCTTTTTAGAACACATTTACAAATATAATGTTATCTTTAAGGATAGTTTACAAAACCTTTGCTAACCGCCTAACCCAATTCGCTATTGTTTTAGCTTTAATACTATTAGTTTTTTACTTTACAGGGTTATGAACTTTCAAAGAAATTGAAAACTAATAAGATAAAAATGTTTCTTTGACCATTTCACTGTCAACATTTTGTGCTTATTATATGCACATTTGCTACCTGCCTGCATCCGAGCTCCAACCCAAAAGTAAGGAATTCTTATTTTATCTTCTTAAATTTTATAGAGAATTACTGAACAAGCTGGAGTTGTTCTTTCACTTGATCCAAAGCCAATAGAGGTACTGTATTTTCATTGTAATGAAATTCAAACCCTCTCTCCTCACTAACCTGTTAGATAATTATAACCCTTTTCCAATTCGAGTTTTCAGGGTGACTGGAACGGTGCTGGATGCCATACCAATTACAGGTACTTGTAAATATTAATATATAATTATGATATTTAGTTATATTTATACATTTTGAGCCATTTAATATTTGGGTTTGATACTTATATCTAATTTAACTATATTATGAATCATTTCTACACTCACAGTACCAAGAGTATGAGAGATGAAGGGGGATTTGAAGTTATAAAGAAAGCGATTTTCAATCTCTCGCTTCGGCATAAGGAGCACATCAGTGCTTATGGAGAAGGTAATGAGAGAAGGCTGACGGGAAAGCATGAAACTGCTAGTATCAACACATTTTCTTGGGTATCTCTTCTAAATCAGACTTTATATTCTTTAAACAATATTTGATTGAAGATGAAAATTCTTTATTTGGTTGGTTGCTAGTCATAAATCTCGTTGAGATAATAATGTGTAGGGAGTTGCTAATCGGGGTTGCTCAATTTGTGTGGGCCGTGATACCGAGAAGAATGGAAAAGGTACGACTGATTCTTGAAAAATTTACACTATCTTACTACCTAGGTCATGTAGCATTTTCCGAAGGGCAAGTCTCATGTAAGACGGTCACACGTTGAGACAGCCAGGAGACATTTTTTCCTAAATATAATACATTTTAACATAGATTTAATACAGGTACTTATCATTACAATTTACAAGTGATTACTTTCAGAGACAAAAGTAAAACATTTATTTATGCTTAAATCATGAATATTTTAACCTTAAACCAACAAGTAATACACTCCTACCTCACATGACCAGTTTTTATGTTCTTCCCCAAATGAATAAAATGGTAGTCTATAATGCATTTAGAAATATTTTTATCTTAAGCTAATTTGCAAAGAAGCACCCGTACATCTTTGAATCCCAGAAGGTAAAATATGTCCTTCCATCATGAAATTATCTTATGATTTTGACTTAAGATGCCTCTTGAGAAGTGTGGTTAGAATGAAATTTTATGTTTGAATTTTGGGTCGAAATAAGTGAAATAATAACAAAACTTATTTGTTTCCTAAAAAACATGAAGATAATTTTGACACAAAAAAAGAAAGCGAGAAGACACATTTACAACAGAGGGAGTAGCTAGGAGGTAGGGCTGAACAAAAAATTGATAAACTGAAACAAATCAAACCGAACCGATGAAAACTGAAACTGATGAAAATTGATCGAACCATAGGCAGTTAGGGTTCACGTTTTGCAGATTAAGCATGAAAAACCGACTGAACCGGCCTAAACCACTTAAAACAGATCGAAATTTGTCAAAACTGACCGAATATAAATGAACCTACCAGAAATAACCGAATTGACTAAATGTAGCCGGTTCGGTTTACGATTTTACCTATCTCAAAACCGAACCAACAAAGCTGAAAACCGACATAACCGAACCAATGAACACCCCTACTAGGAGGCATCACCAAATGATCATGGGTCATCCGGAAAAGTCTCTTTGTGCTTTAGTACAAGGTAATCTCTCTGTGCTTTAGTACAAGGGTAAGGCTGCATACATCCGACCCTTTCTTACCCCACTGTAGGTGGGAGCCTTTGCGGAACTGAGGTAATTAGGCTTACAGTATTACACAGAAATAGGAAGTGATTTATTTTCTTCCATTTCTTTCTTTGATAGGGTATTTGGAGGACCGTCGCCCTGCTTCAAACATGGATCCCTATGTGGTGACCTCTTTGCTTGCTGAAACCACCTTACTGTGGAAACCCACACCTGAGTCTGAAGCTCCCACGGCCTAGAAACTGCTGATGAAAGTCAGAAACATATCTTAACGTTTTGAAGCAAACCGCCTTGATTTGAATCACCAAGAGTATATGGACTTGATAGTGTGTGAGATTTGTGCTGTTTACTTACATCTCCTTGTGCAAATTAGGAACATGTTCGCACCTTTGGGACTTTTGGCCATGCTTTAGCTTGCCAATGGTCCCTTAGACACAAGGAGACGTCGGAACTAAGTTATTTTCAAGAATATTCTACACTTTGGACTTATTTTTTGTGCTGTTGGTAATTGCATCAATCTACACTTTTATTTGCGTTAACCATCAAGCTTCTTGAATCTTGATGCCTTTCTTGTACCCATCATTTCTTTGGGTGCAATACATTTTATAGAGTAATGCTACTTTATGTCCAGTTTGGGAAAATGTAAACTTGCTTTTATACAGGAGATTGTTGGCTGATATTCCTTTGTGGAGCATCCGTCATATACTCATATATCTCTTTATTGTGATTTATAAGTTACAATATATGTTGCTTCGAATACTGTATATATAATTGATAGGTTAGTCATATATACCAACTACCAAGATTATATATGATCCAGTGATACAAATCACCACTAGTGGTTAGTATCAAGTGAGGTGACATTTTAGAAGAACATTACATTATATTCATAACATGGATTCATATATAAAAATTATACACATCTTCTATTAATTATATATTTATATACTAAAGATTCACACTTTGCTTAGTGTTTTAGGTGATATTATAAAAATGTTATGCGGACATTAGGCATTTCTAGTTAGTGATCAAGCAGAGATAAGCAGGATTAATCGAACTTAGTTCATCTTAAATTTAAATAAATCATAGAAGACAAATAGATCTCTAATGTTTAAGCAACGGCTAGGTGAGTAATTTTAAAACATTGGTTTATGTTTAAAAAGTTATCGATGATTGCACACATGTGTTTAAACATGATAACAAATCAGACTCGAACTCAAGTAAAGTAGATTATATTTTTTTCACTCACTCAAACCCGACTCGTACCCGAAGAAGGCTTTTCTTTTTCAAGCATGACTCAATGTAACCCGAAGTCCTGAACTCTAGTTCAATTCGCTTGATTAGCACCCTAGCCTGACCAAACGAGATCCCAGAGATCAGGCAGCTTACACAGATGACTAGCAATTTGGTCCATGAGATCAAACTGATACTTTTCTTGAGCAAGATGTAAACTGAAATTGCTTGGAAGATCATCAAAGAAGCCACTTTCTATTATTGCATTTCTTTAATGGGAGGTCCCAGAAAAGCAAACAAAGGATCGATGGTTAATTGAGACAAGGTATGCATGCATTTTGGGCAAAGAATAAAACATCCAACCCTCCTTGTCGAGCTCTTTATATGCACAAAAACTTAGCACATATCTATATATGTGCTATCCAAAACGACCTCAATCGATCAGCTAATAAGCTAGGCTGTGAATTGTAGTAGCATTTAAGTCTATTAGTTTTCCCTTGAATTGAATTGAATCGTGTCAATTCAATTATTCATATAATATTTTGAAGACTAATTATTCAGAGAGTTCAAGGCCTATATGGCGTCAAACAGAAGTGCTGCTCCAAATGTACTTTTGATCGCTAATGCCATTCTATATCTCATTGTAATTGTGATTTCTTCTTGGGGAGTTAATCATGCCATTGCCAAATCCTACAAGACAGGTGTGTATTTTCTTCCAATCTCAGCTCCTTAGTTTGTAAACACATGTTTTTGAAAGCAAATTTTATGGTACCCTTAAAGTAACGTACCTTGTCCAAGTAGATCAATCAGAATATTGTAAATGAATAATCTAAACATAAATAAATAGTGAAATATTGGAATGACGAACCACCTTTCGATGACATCAATGTGACACTCCCAAGAAGGAAATTACAGGTTCAAAACTCAACCCAATGTTGACATTTAATCGAACAAATACTATATATGCGGAACAGAAAAAATGAAATATTTGAGGTCACAATTTTATATGAGAAATGCTCTTTGTACATGGCAGTTTGTACAGGCCATTGTACACGCTGGTCAAATTGTCTGTGCACAGACAATTTGACCGGTGTTTTATGAAGAAATACGATTTTCACATAGACAAAATCCTTTAAACTATCTATGTCACAGACAATGAATCACTTCTTTTGTACACAAAAAACAAATTGTCTGGATCACAGACAATTAAATTGTATGTGACACAGACATTTGACCAGCGTGTACAAAAGAAGTGCTTCATTGTCTGTGACAAATACAGTTTGACCGATTTTGTTTTTCTGAAAATTGGTTTTCTTCATAAAATGTCGGTCAAATTGTTTGTGCAGAGACAATTTGATCGGCCTGTACAATGACGTGTTTGATTTTATATGCCAAAGTTTGTTCTTGGATTTGCAGGATCAAAGTTTGTAAGTGGTATTTTGAGGAATGTAAAAAATGACATATTGATTTAATTTGCACATATATATTTTGATGCAGCATCAATAATGGAAATGCCAGCAAGAATATTCCCAATCTACTTTCCTTTTGGGAACCTGGCAACAGGGTTTGTGATAATTTATTCGCTCATTGCGGGCACTGTGGGATTCATGACCTCCATCACTGGCATTATTCACAACCTAGGTCAACCAAAGTCGTCCGACCTCCATTCAGATGTTGCATTTTCTCTTATATCATGGCTACTCACACTTCTTGCTATGGGGTGAGTAAGAAAGAACTCAATTTTTTATTTTCTGGGTATTAATTACTAATAATAAAGATTCACGAAAAAGCAAAAAACAAAAAGTAAAACGAGGCATTCTAGTTTAAATTTGCCTAAAAAACACCTCATCATTTAGAACTTTGTCATCTTTTCTTAGTCAACCAAATTCAACTTTGATCAATTATACTCCGTATATTTTTATAGAAAGTTATTTATAATATAAATATGATATTAAAATATTCTTTGTTAAAAGTTGTTTTATAAAATTTATAACTTCCCAAATATTATACGCAATACATACTAATCAAAATCATGGTCTAAACATTACCACTATTATTGATTTGAAAAGTCAAAGATGACAATGTTTTAAAGGACGGATGTAGTATAATACTGAATTGTGGACAATGATCTGATTTAACTTGTCCTTTTTTATAATCACTGTCTATTGTTTTTAACTTCCATATCATATGTCAATTCTTATTAGCGGATCTGAAACTCTTTTTGAAACAAGACTTTGTTGTTGTTATTGTGGTATAGTTGTACATTCAATAGAAAGCATTTTAGTGTGAAAAATTCACTTTTGGTTCATTGTGTTGCAAATGTATGTTTCAGTAATGTATTTTTCGGCATAAAAAAGCTTGGTTTATAAACCTACAACTTCATGTTGATGAATCTTTTATGCTTCTGTAACCTATAATCCCCTACTAAGATACACTTCTCATTCAAACCAATATATGTTATAATGTTACAGTAAAGGTTTTAGTGAAAATTAGTATTCCCATAGGAATGAAAATAATTAATTTCACGTCTTTCATCACTAGAAAGAGGACAAAATACTTTTTTTAGTCATGGACGCTTTGTTCAGATTAAGTGCACTTTAGTATGTAGTACTAGTTAATTAGTTTACTAGTGACTAAAATTGAGTGTTGATATTATTTCTTCTACAGGCTGGCATGTAAGGAAATAAGTTTGGGGTGGACTGATTCAACTCTGGTAAGACTTTATTATGCATCCATTTCCTCTCCAAATATAGAATCCGTTCGGTAACCTTGTTTTTCGACTTATCAGGTTATCAATCAACTTTTTCATCAAACACGTAACTTTTGATTTTGCGCGCTGAATTATGCAATAATAAGAAAAGTAAAGTTGGAGCTACTTTTCTGGCTGTATTGACTGAAATTACTGTAGAGTATCCTTTTAGCTATTTTTTCACATAATTTTTTCTTTATTTTATTAATAAAAATATTTTAAAAATATTCTGTTCATAAATCAACAGAATCAGCCAATCCAACTATTTCAGCAAATTTCAACAGAATCAATCGATTTAGTCAATTTAGGTGTTGCCAAACGAGCTCATTGGGACGTTCTGCATGCATGCTTATCAAGAAAAAAATATACTGGGTATTCAATTAATATTCCAATTTTACCTAAAAAGTGGGTGCTGTTTACAAAACATATTAGGGTATTTTGAAATATGAAATGAGAAAATGTAAAATGAAAAGCACTATTAAAGCACAACATAATAAACACGTAAATCAAAAAGGGAAATGTGGGTTATATAAAATGGAGATCGACAGAGTATTTCAATTATAAATAAAGTATTTGAAAGTTTAGAGCATTTCGATCTAAATGCATTTAATGATGATGTGAATAAGATAGAAACGTAAAAATTATTTACTAAAGTTTCCCTTTATTTATTTATATACTTTTCTGCAATATTCTATGTTTTATTACTTTTATCCATAATGTCTCGATAATAACATGGAATATAAACAGTAAGAACAGAAATAGAACGAAGATTAAATTTTCCTTTACTAATGTTATACATTGAGGGCATGTTTGGCACAACTAGCTGAAAAGATACTTTTGTGAGTTTTTTAATAACTGTTAGCTTTTAGTGACTGAAAAGATCTTAAAGAGAAAATGTGGTGGCTATTTGGTAAAAAGCTGACCGTTTGATTTAGTTCGGTTTGATATACAAGCTGTTAGGACTAATTAATACTAAAAGTCACAGGCTTTTTTCAGATGCTACTCTCTGTAGCATCTAAAAAAAGATCTTTTAATTTTTGAAAAGTTCTTAAAGATTGTCATGCCAAACATATAACTAGGAGTTTTTATAGATTTTTTGAACAGTACAAAAGCTAGAAGGTAGAGACTTATGACTGCTAAACATAGCCTGAATATATATATTTTTTATGTGACTATTTTTCTTCATTGTTCACACCCTCTTCAATTCTTTAAAGAACTTCTCTGGCCTCATCCCCTCATAGGAAATCAGAATATTTTTGAAAAAAATTTACATAGAATTTTTTATACTAAAAATTTAGATATTTTTTAATTTTGGGCTGGACCAGGGTCACGGCTGGCCCTCCCCTAGCTAAGGCTATTCCCTGATTTCCCTCCATAAGGCTCCATTCCTGTGTGAAGTTTATATACCTCGTATATCTTAGCTTTTTGAAGCATCTCTAAATAGAACATAATTCTCTTTTCTGTTCAATTAAAAAATCTTATAAATTTACTCTACTACTATACTCTTAAGTACCAGTAACTCTGCAATACCAAACAATGTCATAATAATATACTTTAATTTACACTAAGCTTTACTATTAGTAAAAAGAACATTTATGAAAAGTTATACATTGATACTCTTAATTAAACTTTGTAAAGGTGAAATTAAGAACTTATTTAGGGGCAATTTTTTTTCTTTTCTGTTACCCAAAACAGATTGCTTTGTAACCTTTTTTTGTGCTGACTATATTTTTTTTATGAGTGTAGAGGACATTGGAGATAATTTTGATAATTTTGAGTGGGACACAGCTATTTTCCACGGTGCAATACATGCAGGAGTTGAAGAGGATTTGATAAAGTGATCGAGATGGGGAAATCAAGGCACTAAAAGATTTTATTATTGGTTTAAATCATATTATATTCATATTTGACTTTATTAATTACGTACCAAAAATGATTTATTTATTTATTTTTCATAATTCTTGTCTGTGTAACTGGTGTGATCATTTCATACTTCGTGTTCTAAATAAAGTGAAAATTGAAGATATGTTCTAAATTAAATACTCGTAGTATATTTTATCAACTTCAGACTTATAAAAGTAATTATTTTGAACGATATATGTAATCAGTGGCGTCTTTCCGCTTAATTGATACTCCATGAATCCATCTGTCCAAAATTGACTTACAAGGTCAATTTTTTGTCAAACTGGTTTAGTTTAAATCACTTAATTAGGATATATTGATTTTCAATTGAAAGAATTGCACACATATTACTAGTGAAGTTTTGATTGACAAAAATATGACCATTTTATAGAAAGACAAAAAAGTGATCATTTAATTTAAAAAAGAATTATCTGCGCCCAACGGGAGAAATTATATCGATTGATCCGCACTAGCTCTGAAACCTTCTAGATCAGTCCCTCTCTCCATTCGTCTCACATATCTCCATGGCTCGTGGTAATCAGCAGCATCATAGAAGACGAAGAATTATCTGCGCCCAACGGGAGAAATTATATCGATTGATCCGCACTAGCTTTGAAACCTTATGGATCAGTCCCTCTCTCCATTCGTCTCACATATCTCCATGGCTCGTGGTAATCAGCAGCATCATAGAAGACGAAGAATCAATCACTAAATTCAGCGTCTGCATCGGTCTTTCTCTCTGTGCACCGTGTTCTTGTCCGTCTACATCGCCAAGCTGCCTCCATCTTCAAGCCCTGTACTCTGTCTTCACGCTCCGCCCAGATCCGCCAGCCAAGTCGCCTCCATCTTCAAGCCTCGTCCCCCCGTCTTCAATCTCCACCCAGATCCGTCAGCATCTTGTCTTTGTGAGGTGATACAGTTTAATAAGAAGGCCAACTCGGTTCAGCTTACTTGAAGAAGGAGTTAGTTACGTAGTGTATATAGCCTAATAAAAACAGGACACATGTCAAAGTTAGTTAGAAGAAGTTGGTAGTTAACCAGCTGTTGTAAGCTTTGACCGGGTTATATACTACTTGTAATGCTGAACTTTTGATCACGAATAGAATCATCTTCTTCATCTTTATCCTTTCTCCCATTTCTATGAACTGTTCGATGCTAAGCTCTCGTTGTTTTTCTTCTAATCCTAACTAAAACAACCTGACTTGTATCATTGGTATCAGAGCTCGTTTTTTGATCCGGTTACTTCATATACTGGCGAGATATCTCCGATTCTGAAACGTAAGAAATGGTGCTAACGAGAAATTCCAGTTCGGATATGGATGAAATTCTAAAAAACATGCAGATGAAGTTTGATCAGAAATTCGAGAACCAGAGTAAGCTCATGATGGATATGATGAGCAAAATTATGAAGAAAGTGGTATGAATTCAGAAAGATAAGAAGATTGTGAAGGAAGTAGATTCTGAATTTGATCATGAAGTGAGTGAGGAAGAAGAAACTTCATCTAAGGAGGAGGAGAATGAAGATGCGAGTGGTAAATCTCCCTCAGTTGGTCAACATTCATTCAGATTTAATCCTAGCGTGGAATTTCCAACCTTCGAAGGACAAAATGCGAAGCTCTGGCTGCAGAAGTGCGAAAGGTACTTTAAGCTTTGCAATATTCATGATAATCAGAGAGTTAACTTAGCTTCTCTATATCTAGAAGGGAGAGCTGCAGGATGGTTTGGAAATTATATTGCATCTAAGAAGAAATTAAAGTGGAAACAATTTACATATGACTTGACTGTTAGGTTCAGTGATAATTTGAACAACAAAATAGTTGAAAGGTTTAACAGCTTGAGACAAGTGGGATCATTAGAATCTTTCATTGATGAATTTGAGACTTTAAAAGCTGCTATGTTACAAAGAAACCCCAAATTGCCATCAAATGACTTTTTAGACTGTTTTTTGGCTGCTCTAAAACCCACTCTCAAGTCATTTGTCAAGGCATTTAATCCCAGGAGTATGGCCGAAGGCATTGAATTGACAAGATTACAAGATGATACTGTAGAGGCTATAACTACACAGGCCAAATTTGGAAGTTCACAGAAATTAATGGTAAATAAGCCTATTTTACCTACACATGTCCAGAATATCAAACCTCCCAATAATGCAAACAAAACTACTGCCTTTTGTATCTGCAACTGAAAGAGCTGAGAAAAGAGCTAAGGGGTTATGCTATTCTTGTGATCAACCTTACAGCAAGGAACATGTGTGTAATCATAAGGGGACACAATTATTTCTGGTTGAAATAAGGGGAGGAGAGGATGAACAAGAAAATGAAGGAAACGAGGGTGGACAGTTACAAGAAAATATCAGTGAATTCAGAATGCAGGAAGAGGAGCCACTAATATCATTTCATGCTATGAATGGCTACTCAGATTTCAGAACCATGAGGTTGAATGGATATGTGGACAGGAGGAAATTACTGATTTTTGGTGGATTCAGGGAGTACACACAATTTCTTAAGCTTACATATAGCCAAGAAATTGGGGTGTAAACTCGATCAAGTAGATACCATGTCTGTGGTTGTGGCAAATGGATCTCATACTGAATGCAACTATGTGTGAAAGAGGTTTACTTGAAAGATGCAAAATACATATTTTAATGGAGATATCCTAGTGTTTCCCTTGGGGGATATGACATGGTGCTTGGGGTACAATGGTTGAGCACTCTGGGAGAAATTAACTGGAACTTTCAGGAACTATGTATGAAGTTTGAATACAGAGGACATAAGGTGGTGCTAAGGGGACATAAAAAGGGAAAAGTGAGAGCCATGCAGGGAAAAAATAAGCAAATTAAGCAGGTCAACCAACTGTATTTGATTCAATGTTATAGCCAAGATGTGAATAACAAGGAGGAGGGACAAATGGAAAAACATTTTGGCATTAATATGGTTCCTAAGTCAGTGGTGCACACTACTCCAGTTGATCTGCAAATGTTACTGAACCAGTATGAGGACATATTTGAAGAACCTCAAGGTTTGCCACCAAGTAGAGGAATTTTTTATCACAGGATTCCTCTAAAAGAAGGGTCCCATCATGTGAATGTGAGACCTTATAGATATCCTTTGAAACAAAAGGATATAATTGAGGAAAAGGTGAAGAAATTGTTGGACAAAGATGCCATTCAGCCAAGTGCTTCACCCTATGCTTCCCCAGTGGTGTTGGTAGGAAGAAAAGACGGAGATTGGAGAATGTGTACTGATTATAGAGCTCTAAACAATCAGACTATCAAGGATAAGTTCCCTATTCCGGTGGTAGAGGAACTAATTGATGAATTATCAGGAGCACATGTCTCCTCAAAGATTGATTTAAGAGCTGGTTATCATCAGTTGAGAGTGCATAAGGATGATGTGTTTAAAACAGCATTTAAGACTCATTGTGGGCACTTTGAGTTTTTAGTCATGCCTTTTGGGCTGACTAATGCACAAGCTACTTTCCAGGCCTTTATGAACCATATATTCAGAGAATTCTTGAGGAAGTTTGTGCTTATATTCTTTGATGATATTCTGGTATATAGCCCTAACTTGGATGTTCATAAAGTTCATTTGCGGCAGGTCTTTGAAGTACTGAGGCAACACAGGTTATATGCTAAGATGAGCAAATGTGCTTTTGGCATCAAGAAAGTGGAGTATTTGGGGCATTATACATCTGGTGTGAGAGTAGAAACAGATCCTAAAAAGATTGAATCAATTATCAAATGGCCTATTCCTATCTCACTAAAGCAACTCAGGAGTTTTTTAGGCTTGGCTGGCTACTACAGATGATTCATCAGAAATTATGCAGTAATTTCTAGGCCACTTACTGAACTATTAAGGAAGGGTCCATATCAGTGGAATAATGAAGCAAACAAGGCATTTGAGGAACTCAAGAAGGCCTTGACTACTGCCCCAGTGTTGGCTTTGCCCAATTTTAACAAGCAGTTTATAGTGGAAATTGATGCTTCCAATAATGTATAGGGGTTGTTTTAATGCAGGAGGGGCATCCTTTGGCTTTCATCAGCAGATCTTTGGGAACTAGATAGAAGAAGTTATCAGTGTATGAGAAAGAGTTGTTAGCATTGGTGTTTGCAGTGCAGAAATGGGAGAGTTATCTGTTTGGTCAGTCATTTGTTATTAAAACCGATCAAAAAAGTTTGAAGTGGTTGTTGGAGCAGAAAGTATCTACTCCATTCCAACAATTCTGGTTGTCCAAACTCATGGGTTTTAGATATGAAATCCAGTATAAAAGTGGGGTAGAAAAAAGAGTAGCTGATACACTTTCAAGGGTAATAGGAGCTGAACTATTATGCTTGGCAGTGTCTTCTATCAAATCAGACTTATTAGAATTGATCAAAGAAGGGTATCAAGGGGATGAATGGTTGCAGGAATTGATGGTAAAGTTGAAAGCTAGTCCTAGTATGCAGCATAAATCATATACTTTGGTGGATGGTATTATCAGAAAAAAGGGAGAATTGTGATAGCAAGAGATGATTCAGTAAGGAAGAAAATATTGCAGTGGGCTCACAATTCAGCTATGGGGGGCCATTCAGGGAGAGATGCCACTATCAAGAGGATTCACCAATTATTTTATTGGAAGGGAGTCAATAAGTATGTTCATGCATTTTTGTGGGATTGCATAGTATGCCAAGCTTGCAAGTATGACAATGCAGCCTATCCTGGTAAACTGCATCCTCTCCAAATTCCTCAGGATGTATGTATGGATATATCTATGGATTTTGCGGAAGGGTTGCCTAAATCATGTGGTAAAGATGTTTATATTCGTAGTTGTTGATAGAATGAGCAAGTATTCTCATTTTATGGCTTTGAAACATCCCTTTTCAGCAGTTGAAGTGGCTCAGATGTATCTTGATAATGTCTTTAAATTGCATGGATGGCCTAGAACTATTGTGAGTGATAGGAGTTCTATATTTCTCAGCACTTTTTGGACTGCCCTTTTCAGTATACAAGGAGTAGATTTATTATTGTCTACTTCCTTCCTTCCACAAACAGATGGTCAAACTGAAGTAGTGAATATGTCTTGAGAGTTACTTGAGGTGCATGTGTAATGAGAAGCCTAATGAATGGTGCAAGTGTTGCCATTAGCTGAGTGGTGGTAGAACACTTCTTTCCATTCATCTATTCAAATGACCCCATATGAAGCAGTGTACAAT